CAGGGTGATTTTTTTCTAAAAAAAAAAAAAAAAAAAAAAAAAAAAAAAAGAAATAATTTAGGACTCTGGCTTCATCCCCACATAGATGGAGATCTTTATGTAAAAGGCTAAGACAAAATATGAACCTAAATACTGCAGACCACATCAATGAAGACACTGTAGTACACATGCCGGGCCCTTTGGTGGAGCTACAACACAGGAGACAAAAAAAAAGGCGTGTGAGATCATCCGAGGTACGGCATCACTCACATATCTACAATGAACCTGAAAACCGCTGTTTTAAAAGTGTAATCCTTTTTAAATAGTTAATTCATGTTAGCTCAAGTGACAAAAGAAATAGATTTTGACAGTTAAATCTAACAAGTTAGTAAAAAATGTCAGAGAAGGAGCGCTAAGGCTCTAACACTTTGGCACAACATGCACCAAGTCCAGAGCTGTGTTCATTTCATCAGCTTTCTTTAATTTAGTCTTAGTCACAATGACAAAAATCTATTTTAGTATTAGTCATATTTAGTCATTACCTTCCCAATTTAGTTTTAATCTTAGTCTAAATGACGAAAACAAATTTTAGTCTCAGTCAAATTTTAGTCATTTTTATCATTTATTTTATTTTTGTCATTTAGTCAACTGTAAATAATAAAACTGCTCCCCACACTGCTTTTTCTTTAACATATATATCACACTGTACAGAATAAAAATTATTCACAAACACAAACAGTCTTCAACCTCAAATAGACTTCCCTTCCTTCCCCAACCTCTGATTTGGCTGTGGATTCTTCTGTGTCAGGCATCTACTGTAGTTGGGAGGAAGAAATCTTAAACGATTTATATCCAATTTATCAGTAGAACATCTTTCTTCTCTGACAGAGAGACAGACACATACAGGCACAGGAAGGCACTAACACACCCGCTCCTACTGCTATAGGCCCACCTGTTCCTTACCTTCATCCATATGGCAGCATGTTGGCACCTCATATGTTGCTTGAGATTCGTTGTGTTCTTCCCTGCCATTAGGAAGCCGCAGACTCTTTGGTGGTGTCATTACTCCGGTGTTGTCCTTCGTGTTTTAAAAGAAATGGCTCCATACATCCAGGCGTTGTTTTCGCCCAGCTCCTCCAACAAACCGTACAGCTGTATCGCTTAGGGACAAACAGGGCAGACAACGCGTAATCTTCTATGAAGCTCAAGAAACAGTTATATTAACAATTACAAATTAATTATAAACAATTACATTTTTTAAATCTCCATTCATCAATGGCTTGTAGATTTCATCTGGTCTTAGTCTTGTTAACGAAAATGATTTTTTATTTTCGTCATATTTTTATTTTCTGGAAACTATTTTTGTGCGTCATCGTCTCGTCATCGTCACGGGAAAAAGGGGCATTGACGAAATATTTACAACATCGTCCTGGTTGACGAAATTAACACTGGTCCTGAGTCCATGAGCCCTGGTCTTTCAGATGCTCCAGCTTTGAAACTAAATGGACTTGCTGCCCATGAATGCTTCCTTAGTGAATGAGGGAAACAAATACTGTGTTTCTGACAAAGGGTCTTTTCTGTAGCTATTCAGAATTTCCCCGCTTTCTTTGATTGGTCCTTGACTGGTCCCTAGCTGGTCATTGGCTTGTCCCTGGTGGGTCCTGGGCTGGTCCTTGGCTGGCCCTGGGCGGGTCCTAGGCTGGTCCTTGGCTGGTCCTGGGCTGGCCCTTGACTGGTCCCTAGCTGGTCCTTGGCCGGTCCTTGGCTGGTCCTGGTGGGTCCTAGGCTGGTCTTTGGTTGGCTCTGGGCGGGTCCTAGGCTGGTCTTGGCTCGTCCTGGGCTGGCCCTTGGCTAGTCCTGGGCTGGCCCTTGGTTAGTCCTAGGCTGGTCCTTGGCTGGTTCTGGGCTGGCCCTTGGCTAGTCCTGGGCTGGCCCTTGGTTAGTCCTGGACTGGTCCTTGGCTGGTCCTGGGCTGGCCCTTGGCTAGTCCTAGGCTGGTCCTTGGCTGGTCCTAGGCTGGTCCTGGGCAGGTCCTAGGCTGGCCCTTGGCTAGTCCTAGGCTGGTCCTTGGCTGGTCCTAGGCTGGTCCTGGGCTGGCCCTTGGCTGGCCCTGGGCTGGCCCTTGGCTAGTCCTGGGCTGGTCCTTGGCTGGTCCTGGGCGGGTCCTAGGCATGTCCTAGGCTAGTCCTGGGCTGGTCCTTGGCAGGTCCTGGGCTAGCCCTTGGCTGGTCCTTTGCTGGTCCTGGGCGGGTCCTAGGCATGTCCTAGGCTAGTCCTGGGCTGGTCCTTGGCAGGTCCTGGGCTAGCCCTTGGCTGGTCCTTTGCTGGTCCTGGGCGGGTCCTAGGCATGTCCTAGGCTAGTCCTGGGCTGGTCCTTGGCAGGTCCTGGGCTAGCCCTTGGCTGGTCCTTTGCTGGTCCTGGGCGGGTCCTAGGCATGTCCTAGGCTAGTCCTGGGCTGGTCCTTGGCAGGTCCTGGGCTAGCCTTTGGCTGGTTCTTTGCTGGTCCTCTACGATTCATTTTTAAACATCAATCTTTGCACTAAAATATTCTTTTTGTCATGATTTGTGGAGATTAAGATCTAAAAAGAAGTGCCATCTCCTGGTCAGACCCTGTGATTCAGTGAAGTGTTGGAGTCAGAGTAAAAAATAAGGGGTCACTGCAGTGGCTGGAAGCTGTATGGGGTTTTGCTACGAGCTGCAGAGAAGTTTGCTGCCATTTGGCTGGTGTTTAATTGGGAAGAGACATTTTGAATGGCTGCTACTGTAATAACAAATGTCCTACTTAAGTATACCTATTGTTAAGTGTGCTTTGTATGCACATAGAGCCGCGGTTCTCAAAGTGTGTGGCGCGACCCACTGGTGGGGAATTGAGACGTGACAGGTGGGGCGCGCCAAGTTCCGGTGTGTGTGTGTGTGTGTGACTATAAATGTAGAATGTGTATGTAGAATGTGTGAGAGCAAACTGTCCTTATAGCTGTATGTTGCCGCTTTTTAGACCAATCAAACCCACAAAGTAATCATTACTAGCCTACATGCAGTCTAATTAAAAGAACATTAGATATGAGAAAAATTTCACCTGGAACTGAAGTGCCAAAATAATGATTGACGTGACGTCGGCATATTATTTGTAACGGAATAAACTTTCGCGCCCCAGTGTTGCCAACTCAGCGACTTTGTTGCTATATTTTAGACCCCTCCAGCGACTCTTTTTAAAAAAAGCGACAAATCTAGCGACTTTTGGAGACTCTTACGTGAAAGCACGTATCGTTCCTTTTCTTGTCCTCCAGCGGCAGGTGCTGCCGTGGGGCGCCTCCGTCCCAACCCCGTTCTCCCCCGCTATCGCAGGAGTCCCTCTCAGCGCTGCAGAGACACAGCATGTTTACCCTCAGCGTCCAGACTGCAAATGAAGCGCACATGCGCCGGGATTGACGGCGCAGGTTGATCATAAATAACTGAATTTGAAATATTTTATCTTAAATAAATAGGACCAGTTTATTGAAATGACGTCTGACTCCACCCTGAGGCTCAGGTTTAATGCTCAGACTAATAGTGAATTCTGGTTTGGAGTGGAGAGGGAGTTTCCACTCATCGGGCAGAGAGCTGTGTGCATTCTTCTTCCCTTTGCCACATCATATCTCTGTGAGATGGGCTTTTCAGCTGCTGCTTCACTGAAAACAAAATACAGATCTCAGCTGAACATTGAGCATGACTTGAGAGTGGCAGTATCAAGCCTGCAACCCCGTTTTGAGAAACTGTGCAATGCAAAACAGGCTCATCGCAGCCACTAATGCAGGGATAAATAGACCTGTCTTGCCAGATGGATTTCACTTCTTTTCTTTTATTAACAGATTGCAGAGTGGCACTTTAATTTTTTCTATCTTTGAGCTTGATACAAATTTTGACACAGCTGCATTTTTATTTTCTTTATTTTTGAGCTTGCTGTTATTTGATGTAGATAGTTTGTATTTAGATACTACTTGTTACTTCAATAAAATTGGAAAATTTTAAGATTGTTGCATATTTCATTAGCATTGTGTTGGGGCGATGGGGACAGGCGGGGCTTGAAAATTCCCCCTTGTCCAAAGTGGGGAATGACAGAAAAAGTTTGAGAACCACTGACATAGAGGAACAATGTTTTCAAGCTGTCCACCATCCCCCAGTATCCATTCATTAAAGAAGGTAAAAGAACAAAATGAAGCAGTATGAAAACTTTAAAGGAGCAATAAGTAAGAAAAAACATGCTTGCTCTTGACCAACAAAGATGTTTTTCCAAACATACATACAGACAGAAAGAAATAGTGACTCCATAGTAAAACCTGCCAACAAAAGTAAAGAGAAAATTTATAATCTAGATAAAAAACTATAAAAAATAACAAATAAAACATTGAAAAAACAAACCTAAAAATTTAATCTGAGAAAACAGAAGTAGTTTCACTTTGAATGTGTTTTTCTTTTTTCAAACCATCCATTTCCAAAATGTGTTCTCTGGTTTCATTGATAATGGAACAAAATTCTGTTCAGTCAGTTTCAAATATTGCTTAATGCATCATTTGGATTAACAGGTGACTGATTCAGTGTGATTAAAAAAGGCAGAATGTAGATTATATGAAATTATGTACAGAAAATTGTGATTTAATCTGACAGTTTTTTTTTTCTTTAACTTTATTGAATTGTTGTTTGAGCTTACTTTTCCTTCCTAGTATCTGTTTGGGAAAAATAAAATCTCCTGCTCTATCCAACGGTTTCTAAATCAAATACGTCATGAAAAAGTAATGCTCTGGGTCAGTGCTAACTGAACCTCAGCATCAGAACAGTTTGCTTGGTATATTTACAGCCTCTGGTAACCTCTCATTGTATCCAGGTGTTGTAAGCCGAACATTGACCATGGGTTAGAGCTAGGCTAAAGAAAAGCCATGATCCCTCAGATTATTATGGATTCTGCCTGATTTTTTATCCATGTCATTCTGATCAAACCACCAATCTGTATTGTTTTTTTTCTTTTCTGAATGTTTTTCTGCAGGTTAACAGACCTGTCGGGTTCTCTCACAGATGGTCCAGTCAACTATAAATACAAGACCAAATGTACATGGCTAATAGAGGGATAGTAAGTACACACCTTTTTTTTCTCTCCCCTTTACTTAACATTATTCCAACTGCTTCTTCTTGCTGTAAAACTACAGTTTATGTCTCACTTGAGTACTTTTTAATGCTGTGTAAACAGGGTGATTGTTTATCAGTGCAGCTGTTGTGTTGCTTCAGTCTAAGGAGGACAAGTTGATTGCAAAATTCTCCAACACCCTATGTTTGGATTAAAAGAAGAAATATATCACACAGTGTATCACAAAAAAATTTTCTTTCTCAAAAAACCTAAACACAACTATTAAGGTCCAAGCTGCTGGTATCAAAGTAGTCACACCCCTCAGTAAAACCGTCCAAATTGTTCCCGGAGTGTCTCAGGGCACAGAGATGGGTCACAAGTGTAACTCAGATGGGGAGCATAGAGTTCACTGTTGCTTGCAGGTTAACACTGGAATCTTCCTACAACCCACCATGGAAAAATGACAGAGCGGGTGAAGGCAGTGCCTAACACTAGGCAAGAAACACCTGTCTTTGTGATCCTCACCTGGTTTCTGCCACACACCTTTAACACCTTCTGAACTGAATGTATGTGAACGTCCATGCAGACCAGTTTGCTGTAGTGTGTGATGTTTGGTCTGAGCTCTGATGGGCTGATCTTCCACCTCTTCAACCTCTTTGGCGGAGATGGCCTTTCAAAAGACAACCTCTGGATACGTCCCCGACCCATGCACTCAACATCTGACCATGACTCGGTCTGTTCTAAGTGGAACTTCTCCTGTTAAACTGCTCTAGGGTCTTAGCCACCTCGTGGTAACTCCATTTCAGAGTGTTAGCAATCCTCTTGATCCTCGAGGTCTGCTGTGTTGCTCCTTTTAGATGGGTTTCTGTTTCATCACACCTGATTCAAACCTTCAGGTCATTAGCAGTACTCTGGAGAACCCCACTGCATACTGAAGATGTACTGTAGTCCAGCTGTTTTATTGATGTGTGTTGAAGCCGAGACACAACTTAAAGCTGCAGGACACTGGACCTTGAGTATTGGAATTGAATAATACTAGACTAGGCCATCTTCCTGTAGATAATTCTTAATCCCCCATCGACATAGAGATGAGATTAGAAATACCTGCAAAGGTAATTTATCGTTTAAACTTTGCGTCCGATATTTGGCGTTGTGGGTGAACCATAAACTGTCATTTTCTTAAAACCCGGTCGCAGAAACTTTCAAAAAGTCAGTTTCATGTTTCAGGGGTTTTTTACTGTGAAAAAGATAACAGTGTTCCTCTTTGTGTGAACCTGGCTTTATTTTGTTCTTATTAGAGAGTTCTGGGCCATGTTGATCTTCCTGTTACCAGTTGACACCTGAGAACTGGTAACACCATAACACATCACAGGACCCCAGGGAGAAAACATTACTATTATGGTTCTCACTTTCTTTGCCAGTGGCTAACATTAAAGAATTCATCACCTGGGAATCAGACTTTTTGATGTTAAAACTTGTGTTTGGGTCAAGCCTTAGCTAAACCCTTCCGGAAAATCAGGAGTGTAAAAGCAGCTTGTTTTTTTTTTTTGTTTTTTTCCTGTGTTATGTTTCTAGTTTTACTTTTAACCTATTGTGTTAGAGCTATAGAAACAATAGAAAACAAACCATGGCAAACTGCTAATGTTGCTAATGCTGCTTGAGCGTTCAATTCTTCTGCGTACCCTTGCAAGAAAAAAAGGGGTATAAAAAGGTCAACATTTCTTATTCCTAAAAATGGTTGAACATGAATTTGAAGACAGTTTTAGAAGGATTGTTTGTATAAAATACTAAAATACTAAGTTATGACTTGTTTAATCTTGGTTATACAAAATGCATTTAAAATGGTGTTTACCAACATCATTCAGTGACATAAATAGAATCAATAAATGACATGATAGGCTTAGTTTTATAAAAGTTAATGTTACTAGAAGCCTGTAACTGAAAACATCCCTATACTTTCAGCTGAACAGGCCCTAATCCGCCACCCACAGCTTTGTCCTGATCTCTCTGTGTCTCACAGTATATTTGATTCTCCTGTCAAACATCCTGTTGTTTTTACATAAAGCTCCAAGGTTTCACTTACATCCCTGCAGCCCTCCAGTCCCCTTACAAATTGACTTGTTTTATTCTGCCACCCGCATCATCCTCCTGTGCTTTGACTTTCACACACCCTGCATGAGTTGGTGTTTTGGTTGACCATCAGGACTATATCTCTGCTGCTGCTGGAAATTCCAGAAGACTCTGAGATTTAGACACTTTGGAGCCAGCCTTTTTAAGAGAATGTATTTTCTTTTGCCTTTTCTCATCACAAAAAATTTAAATCTATGTAAGTCTTTTTTTCTCAAATTTAGTGCATTTTTTTCTGGAATTAAACAAGTAAGTGAGACACTTTGCAAATGGAATAAGGCATTTTATATTTAGGATAATGAAAAAAAACTGCAGTCTATTATATCAAGGGTATAATATGTAATTACCTTATTGTAAGGGGAACGCTGCTCATTCCATTGGCTGATCATCTTAAATTCCCCCTCAAATGAAATTGTCGGGTGAGCTGTTTCCAAACGAAATTTATTTTTGTTTTACACTCGTGTAAACAAAAATGACAAATAAAATCTGTCTAAAGTCTAAAAGTCTAAATTAAGGCTAAATACACTTATTTTAAGATTTTTTTTTACTCATTTTCAGAACGTTTTTGCAGCGCTCCATCTTTCTCCTATTGTTCACCATTGCTCTGACCAATGCAATACAAAAATTATCTGAGAATAAGTGAAAAGGTTTTAAAATAGCTGTATTTGTCCTTCGGTTGAGCAGATAGTGTAGTTCAAATTATCTGCCAACGGAATGAAAAGAATGAATAGACATCTTTCTGTGCAGAGATCTGATTCCATTGGCAGATCATTTTACTCACTCAAATCAAGTGCAAATACATTTAGTTCAAGGAAACTTTGCTTACTTAAAGGTATAGAGAAGGATGTTGTTTTTCCGGGTGGATCATCTCAACCTAACTGTCAATCAATATGGTGATATGTTTACATTAAGCCGTCCTACGTGCTCGTCCCCATTTTCACTTACAGCTTGTCAGTCTGACATAGTGGACAAATTGCAAATCTTCTTTTGGAAATTAAGTTTGTATGAACGACGCAAACAGCAACTATTAAACAGAGCATGCACGAGGAGAAATGGGCTCGTGCACGTGTTTAATGATGTATATACTGTTTATATCCCATGAACCTTTTCCTCCTTTTTGCCCTTTTCTTTGACTATTGAGCCGATGTGAAAAGTGATTTTTTTCCCACTGTGAGATCAATAAAGTGTAACTTATTTTATCTTATCTTATTTTAATAGGTGTGTATATGTTTTTTATTTTATTTTTTTATTTTTTATTTGAGAGGATGGGTCCTTTCAATAATTTGCAACAATCCTCCACTTTTGCCTTTAAATATGGTGCTTAATGACCAGTTATAACCCTTACTACCCCAGGCCCAAACTATGGTCCGTAGGTAAAGCTTTGTTTCTCTTTTTGGACCAGAGGTTCTACCTCTTGGATTAACTCTGTTTTTTTTTTTTTCTTGCAGAGGGAAAATCTCAGAGTTTTTTGCTTTGACCCCAAACCACTTTATTTCCATTCAAAGCTTCCACCTATTCCTACTTCCACACGCATGCGCTCTCCATCACTGATATTTTTTTGTCTCATTCTGTGCATCTTGGTTTGGATACCTTTGATGTTGCCTCTCTCAGTTATGGAGTCCCACAGGGCTCCATTTTAACCCATTACTATGTTCTTTGTATTTGCTGCCCCTTGAGGCACTTTTTAGAAAGCTTAACATTTAATATAATTGTTTTGTTGATGATCCACAAATGAATCTCCCCTTATGTGCAAAATGTGTTTTGATATTTTATGGATGTAAAGGACTGAGGCCCCGTCCACACGAAGTCAAAACGAACACGAAACGCTGATATTTTCCAAAACGTTTGCTGTAAAGATGGAGATGTAAAATAAATGTGAGCGTCCACACGAATGCATGAAAACGCTGCAAAATGTATGCCAGGCCTGTAAGTGGCGCTGTGGTGCCAAAGCAAAAATAAGCGACGAAATGTTGGGCATTTGCACTAATATTTAGTCAAATTCAGGTGCTGAACTATGTCGTCGATATTGCTCTGTTCTTCCTGGAGATATTCCAGAAGAAGAAGATTCTGTTGTAAGCCCGACAGCAGGGTGAGTAGCATTAGCAGCAACGGCTCCATTGTTGTTGTGATACTGTGTCGCGCATGCGTGTTTAGAGGCGACGCTATGACGCATGCGTGTAAAAAAAAAAATGCGGTTAGAGCGTAAAGATGGAAACGTGAAAACGGCGTTTCGAAATCTTCCCACTCTGAAGGCTGAATAAAAAAAAGATCGTTTACAGACCCCCGAAACGCCGGCTTCGTGTGGATGAGAGGCTGGTTTTGGTGAAAAATTTGTGCGTTTAGGCCAGGGTTTGGCTTCGTGTGGACGGGGCCTGAGTGTCTCAAACTGTATAATGCCAAATGACACTTGTAACATTTGGAAATCCATTTCATGCCACTTCCCTCAGTGCCCTGGGCATGCTAAGGAGCTACTATCATAAATGTTTTAAGCGTTGTTTTGAAAAAAGGTTCTTTAAATTTGATGAGCTCAGTAGTTAAATTTAACTATTTCTAGTTGCTTCATCTTTTACCTTCAGTCCAATCTGCCTTATGTTTTTTCTATAACTTTTCATCATGGCCCCACTTTGGATAATAAGAAACTTTTAACTGTTTATTTTACCGTGTAACATAATTCAGCATTACTAGAAACACCTTTTAAAAAAAAATCTCACAATGAGTCATCATTTCCAATGATTTCTGCCAGATCTCACATGCAGTTACCACCTCGCTTTAGGAATTGCTGCTGTAGGGCGTCCCATTCAGGCCTTCATTACATGTCGCTTTGATTACCTTAACTCTATAACTGTGGGCTTGATGGGGCCTCCATCCATTGCCTGCAGTAGGTTCAGAGTGCTGCAGCTCGTTTGCTTTTAGGCATTAAGAAGAGTGAGCATGTGAATCCTGGGTTGGCTTCTCTTCTTTGGCTTCCAGTTAGCTCAAGGATTTTTTTTAAGATTTTCTTCATGGGTTTAAATGTTTGAATGTGTTGGCTTTGCTTTATGTTTGCTAGATTCTCTGGTCCCATTCAAGTTTGATCAGTTAGATCATAAAAAATCTAGTAACTCTGTTTGTGTAGAGAAATCAGTGCATTTGCTGTAGCTGCTTCTTCACTTGAATATCAGATTAGCACAGACGCTTTATATTCTACACTTTTTATTAAAAGGCCACTGATCAAACTGCTGCTTTTAACTCATGATGAACAGATAAAAAAAAATCTTTTATTAAACAATTTTTAACTTTGCATAGAGTTATCTATAGGCTCTCTATATCAGGTTGGCACTGACATAATGCTAGCTTCCAGACCATGACTTCTCCTTTTGGCTAATGATCCATGTGCTGATTTTAGCCCTCTATCCTTATTTTTGACCATTTTTATTCATACTCAGCTTGTAGTTTTCTTAACACCAAGATGTGATCTTAAACACGCATCTGCAGCCATTTTAAAAACTTGTATAGAAAAAGAAAAAAACACATCATGAAGACTTCAAGATAGCTAAAAGCTCCAGTTCATTATCCACAGACTAAACTGGAGGTATACAGTAGTTACCTTAAGAAAGCAGAATATGAAGCATCCTGGAAATATATATTTTTTTGGTGGTGCCTATCCATTCTCTACTTTCTTTCCTCTTCTTTCTTGCAGTCCCAATACAGCCCTCAGGCTTCGCTTCAATCACTTTGCCACGGAGTGCAGCTGGGACCACATGTACGTCTACGACGGGGACTCCATTTATGCCCCCTTGATTGCGGTGTTCAGGTAAGCGCCCGCTGCTATGAATGGGAAAGATTTCTGACTGAGAAGATATGGAAATGACCAGGGAGACCTTCGCCCCACTCCTTAGTAACTCCGATAAACGAGCTTTCCTGCAAGCAAATGAGTCAAAACATTGGCAAACAATGGCGCCTCATAATTACCGCCGTTCCACAAAGCATTAACAATGGAGTGAAAATAGAGCAATTACTCACATCATTCCCTGAATGCCACTTAAACTGTTCATGGAGCTTTATTGCATATTTTGCTTTTCATAATTGCCAAACATGAGGTAAGCCCTCTTTGGTGCCACAAACATTACTTATCAACAGCAAAAGAGCAATAATTTACCAGCTGCCTGCTTCCCACTTATCTCTAATTAAACGCTAATTTTCTCTCTTTCACGGAAACTTAAGCTGTAGGAAGTTAAGAATAAGGACAAACAAACTGTAAAACATTAGAAACAACAGTGCTGTGAAGAAGTATTTCCCACCTTATGGGTAGCCTTTATCAAAACTTTGGTTTAATCTACTGGGGTTTTATAACCTTAGGTTATAAAACAAATGAATTCCCAATTTTTAATTCATAAGTTAACCAAAATCCTTGAAGACTGCTTAAATTTCAATAACCACTAAGCCCCAGCTTAGTCACAGCATTATGAAAGCAGGCATCACTTAAAGAGAGCCTGTCTGACAACATGAAGTAGGCTATAAAATATCCATAAAAGCAGTGCATGATGTCTCAATCGAAAGAAAGTTAAGAACAGATGACAAAATGATTTATGTCTGTCAGTTTGGGGTAAAATGCCTTTTTAAGGCTTTGGGACTCCAGCGAACATAAATACTCATGCAAGCAGTTTTATTTGAAACTCCACTACTCATTTTGGACATTTTGATTCTCACTTCATAAGGAACAGAAAAGGGATGAACATCCCAGGTAAACACTAACCTACTAAAGTTATTGTAAGAGCGCTTTAACAGATCAGAAACATTTAAGAAAAAAAACTGTACATACAGTCTAGAATGATGGTGAGGTTGTTTTCCTGGTGGTTCAGGAGCTGCATAGCTTGGTATGAAGTCAGTTCTGCTCTCCAGCAAAAAAAAAATCCTGATGCTTTGGGACCTGAAGCCTAGAAATACTTTCCTTAAAAGCCCACTAGCATGTCAACCCTGGAATAGCTGAAAAACAAAAATAGGACTTTGGATTGGCCTAGTCAAAGCCCTAACTGGAATCTCATTAATTTTCTTTGACAAGAATAACTCCTGGTCTAGGAAGTGATGAAACAATTAATCCGATAAATCAAATTTCTCAGTGTTTAATCAATTATGAAATAACTTTTAACTAATTTAGTAATTGATTAAAAGTTCACTGGAGTTTAGAGATTGTGAAACATGCCTTTAGCTGACAGAGCAACCTTCTTACAGCAGGAATTATACAAAATAAAAAGGAAAATTATAAACATTTTGCATTTGAGATAAAAAACAACAACAATAAAAATAAAATAAATAAAAATTCTTCTTCTTTAGGGAACCTTTGGGTATCCGATTATAATCGATTAATCAAAAAAACAAATTGATAGAACATCCATTCGCAAAACAATCGTTAGTTGCAGCCCTAGATCAACCTTCATATGAACTTGACTTGGATAGCTTTTATTTTCTCATTGTTTAAATGAGATGGATTTTCTCATCCACTGAGGTTCCTTTACCTGATATCAACATTTGTTTAATTTGTTTCACTGTGAAGGAAACAAGTTTAAACAGAAGACACATCAGACCCATACGCTTGTGCAGTGTGTTGAAAATATTAGAAGTGACAGGGCAAGCAAATAAAGAAGTGCCAATCCTCAGAGGGAAACCATCATCACGCAGAATGTTAAAATGAAATGTGCCTGTTTTGTTTAGAGCTAATCACTGTCATTATTTCCGCAGGGAGCGCTTGCTTAGTCAAGCTTTTTATCCTAAACCTCTCGGGGCGGCTGTGCTTTAAAACAGCAGCTCCCCACATCATCTTTCTATTATTAATTATTAACCTTGAGCTTGGGGTGTTTCTTTGGCTGATGTGTCTCAGTGGGCTGGTGGTGCCAGAGAAGAAAGGGAAGGAGTCCGTACCCGAGGTGGTGACCACGTCTGGATACGCCCTGCTCCACTTCTTCAGCGATGCTGCATACAACCTGACTGGTTTCAACATAGCCTACTCGTATGTCTACACATTGTCTCTCTGCTATCTGGGTAAAGCCAGCGGGGATCTCCATGGTTGGTCCTGCTGTTCTCATTCATGATGCCCAGTTGGGATTTGTCAACCTGCTGTTGAAGAAGCCCAACACTAAGAAAGAAAACCAGAAAGATTCAAACCACCTTAACATCTGTTGTGATTGACTACAAATGTTGTGCAACTATAATATATATTTATTAATCACTCCAGCAGGGGTGTGAAATATGTTATTTAAGCAGATGTCAGGATTTGGTTTTAAGGTTGTTGATTGGACCCAAAAGCAGAAGCTGAGAGGCATAAGTGAGTTCTTGGAGGGTTTAATCAGAGATCAGGCAAACAAAAACAGGAATCCAAAAATTCGACATATAAATCAAACACAAACCAGAACCATGGAGACATCAGGGGAAAACCATCAAGGAGCCAGGCTAAGGAAAGGTAAGATGAGGAACCAGCAAAGAGGGACTGCAGAGGGAGTGTATTTATGGCTGACTGAACAAAGGTAGAGCTAATGAGCTGATAGGGAACAGGTGTGATTAGAGCTGACGAGGAAGCCAAGGGAAAAGAACACAAGGAGGCAGTAGAGGACAGACAGAAAAACCTAAGCAACTTAAATGAATCCAGACACACCAAAAAAGCTAGAAAACAATGAAAAACCTGGCTAAACTTGAAACTTAAAGAAAAACAACACAACCAAGATCGTTACAGCAGATCATATTCGGACTGTTTTATATTGTTTATGAATACATGCCCTACTGGCTGTGTGTTAAAATAACCAATGAAAGTGGGAATCGAGGTCAAATCAAGGTCAAACTGAAAATTCTGCACAAACATAGAATTAATTCACCACAACTTCTGTTCAAAATTAGTGTTTATGAACAGAAATCCTTCAGCTCCAAGTCAAAAGGTTTTCAGTTAAAAACTTGACTATTATAGTGAAACTCAACTGAAATAAGCTACTATGTACAAAGAAGAAGGAAAAACCTGATTGAAAACTATGATAATGAGATGATGACACAGTTTAGCATGGATTTTTTTTTTGATAACCAAGAATTTTGGATGGGATCTACATTTTTATGATATCTGATTTTATATACTCTATAAATCCCACAGGGAAATTACTTCTCTGCATTTAACCCATCCCCTTGGGGAGCAGTGAGCTGCCATTGTGCAGCGCCCAGGGAGCAGTGTGGGATTAAGGGTCTTGCTCACGGAGCCAAGGTGGCAGTCTGTGGGAGTGGGGGATTGAACTCACAATTTCAGGATTCAAAGCCCTATGCCCAAACCACTAGGCTGCCACTCTCCCCCGAAGCTGCTAACTAATTTAGAGCAATTTGAATGTTTTCAAACCAATTCATAATGCAAATCAAAGAGGTGGCCAGATAATGTTTTATTAATTGATTTGCTTAATCAGGGAAAATAAGCCTTAGTTAATTGATTCTTTACCTTCTTTGAGTGAGCTAGCAGACTCCCATTAAATCCCTTTGGGTCACAATTTGGTAACTATTTGGAGAAAACCCATGAGCATTAATATTATGTCAGTGTTTAAACCCACAATTTCATAAGGCTTGTTTTAGCTTTATAAACAACAGCTTAGACATGTTGGCACAGCGTACCAAGTGGTCCATCTTGTTAGCTTTGTCTTGCCAACAGTTAATGCATGCCATGATCAAGAATCATCAAAGAGATAAATTATTTAGCTAGAAACTCTCCTTGACTCGTGCCAGACCTGTACCTGTGCTCATTTGCATTTGGAAGATTTCATAGAAGCTCCCCTCCACCAATCTCTTAATCTCTTCAAGCATCTGAAAGTTCCTGAAACTTGAAGAAGAATGTCGAAAACAGTCTGTTATGCAGCAAGTTGGTTTTAAATGTCATAAGATCCACTTAGCCTTGGTCAGTCTGGAGATCTGGCCCCTGGCCATGAGCCATGATGGTGGCTTCCATGATGGCTTCCTCTCAGAATGGAACCTCCCAGAGCCTCCCGTAGAAGAGAAATAAATCATTGGTGTGGTGTTTGCTGTTTCCTTAAATACAATGGGAGCGAAGGTACACCTTTCCAGGAGTGTCTTTTTAGAGTGGGCTGTGTTGTTGTAATTGTTACTACTAATTTTTGCTCATCTGTCTGAAGCAGGGGTCCGTTTCACAAGGCAGGTTTGTTGAAAAAGTTTTCTAAGCCTGAAATCGGGGAAACTGAGTTTTCTGTTTCCACAAAGAGAGTTTAATCAACCTCTGTTTCTGTTGCCTTAGTAACATTCACATCAGAGAATCTGGTCAGCAGAAGTTTTTGTTCAGTAAACTCAGGGTGTCCTCTGTCTCCACTCTCCTTAAAGCCAATCACATTTTTAATTTCCTGAATTGGTCAGATTTTTGTCATAGTTTTGTGTATATTTAAAAAAAACTCATTCTCTAGTTCCATTAGACATATTAGGTTTGAAAAACAAATATTGCATGACCTTTGATGAAGATCTTATTAATGCATTCACAGAAAATTTAATATTCATAGGGAGAGGATTCTACAACCCAGTTTAAAGGATATGAGATTTATATGTTCTTGGTTTGTTTAATATATATTTTTTTACAGTTCATGAAGAACTACGAGGATTATTTTCAGACTACACATAACTAGATAAATTGATTCCACAGGGAAATAAAGGGAATTAGCTTAGGGTCAGGATTCATTTGGTGGTAAAAATCTGCTGAGCCTACTGGTAGATAGGATGCACAATCCGAAGCCAGTCAATGGGACATTACCGCTAATAACAACCAGATAATGGGATGATAACATCCGAAGCGTCTCCAAACAGCCACTTAGTATTTTCTATGTAACGGAAGACAGGATCAAAATGAGGAGGAACCCAATGAGACGATGAACAGGTCCTACCTTTTTAAATAAAGTTTGTATTCTTCATCTCCTGTTGCCAGCTGTTTTCACCTCAATAGAATACATTGATTCACTACCATTCAAGAAATAAACCTGTAATGTTATCGTGATTACAAGAGTTTATGGTGGGCCATTTGATATGTATTAGTTTGACTAAAGATGTATTTCTGATATCTGAAAAAAAATCCTTGTCATAATGACCGAGTCAGGAATAGTTCAGAACGGGGCTGTTCTGAGATCAAGGAGTCCGCAGCCCGGTGAGGGGCTCTGATTCAAAGATGTACCGACAGATCCAGGGTTCCAGGAATCCACAGAACGTTCAGTAAGGTTCCTGAATGCTCTGAGTGCAGCAGAGAGTTCAGGCAGACATGTTGGGATGCAGAACAGGCAGGCTCAGCAGTAGAGAGGCAGGGAGAAGACATGGTACCAGGAGAACTGCAGAACTTTAAACTGGCTTTTTCCACTGAGCCAAAACAGGAACAAAGCATGCTCAATGGATAACAACCAGGACTACTGGACTTTAAACTAGCACCCGCCTTCTCAGCCAAAACAGTAACAGAGCGCGCTCAGGGGGCAAGAGGTAGGACTTGATCAGGAGACGACAAGACAAACACCCTCGCTACCCACTGGAGAGCTAGGACATGAACCACGGAAAAACTCAAACTAATGACAACAAAAAACATCAATGATCTGACCCCGATAGCTGGGCTGAGCCGTTTATAAAGCAGCTGACGCAGGTGGATAAAATGAGCATTGATTAGCGGGAAGTATTGGCATTGGTGTTGTGATTCCATATGTGTCACAATACTCAGGTCACAATACGATATTATCACGATACTGCAATATCAATACATTTCACAATATTTTACCCAGATATCAAAATGAAATATATAGATAAAAAGCCAGTGCTGTATATGTTCATCAGAAGAGATAATTTAGTTATCTTTGTGTCAATGTTTGGGGTTTGAGTCAGTCCATGTCTTCCACTATGACCTCAAATACAGATATGGCGCTGCGCCGCACAGCTAAAGGGCTCCACAGCGCTTTCTACCAGAGTGGTGATGCAGAGGTTGCCTATTTTTCCCTCATTATTTTAGGAAACCATGTTTTGTTTTTTAAAATTGAAACTAGGAATTGAAAGATCTATATTATATCTTGCAGCCGAATAACACAATATATCGCCAAAACAATTATTTCTCACACCCCTAGCGATGATTAGAATCTGGGAGAGTTAGGCAGGGGAGTGAAATGAGGATTAGGTCAAGTATCAGGGCAGATCATGACATTTCTTCCCTTTTACCCTAATACAAACAATCGCTCTTTACACAAGCTTAACAAATTGAAAGTATAAAAACGGCAGAAACAAAGTTTGAAAAAAATAACAACTGAAAAAATTGAATTTGTAAGAACAAAATTTGCAAGATTGGCAAAGTTAATCTCAAAACCTTAAAATCAAAGTTTCCTTTCTGGATTGCTTTTTTTATTTCCATTTACAAAATATATTCTTTGCTTATTAAAAGAAAGGGAGAAATATCTCTCACTGAAGATGCACATGAATAGAACATGTTTACTCATCATATTGAAGTAAGCTAATGCTCATTGAACATTGATAGAGCTCCAAGAAGCTTCTGGATAGAAGGTGAGCCTGGTAGAGACTAATTCTACAGCTCTAACAGTTCTAATATATTTGGTGTCAGCCAATCCCCTGTATATACAATATTCTGCAAGTGAAAAGCATAAAAAAACCCATCAAATGTCCCCAGGTCCTTTCTTCCAAGTACTTTCACCCTGAACGCAGGCGGCCTAATGCTTAAAGAAGTAAACATGTTATCTGAACTGTCACAGCAGAGCCTAAAGCCGTCTCTCTCTATTGCTGATACAAAATTGCATGTCTGCGTGACCATAAAGGCATTATACACCTATGCCTGTGTAAATTCTTCATCATATGGATCACACCAACCACAAAACAGGCTTAAACTGGAAAGCAACCTGACTTTCAGAGAAAGAAAAACAACCAATTTTATGTGTAAAATCTAGTTAATCTTTGCTGCTAAAATTAATCAAATTGCTTTCTGTCCTTAGAGATAGATAAAAGATAAGATTAGACATTAATATGTAAACCTTTCCTGAAACAGAACTGATATTTAAGATATAGTGGACGGTGCGCTGTGAAGCTGTTTTGAAAAACAAAAACACAGGACAATGATAAAGTCCCAAAAAGCCAAACTTTCTCGGGCTTTCTTTATCTAAATGAACGAGCAGTGAGGTTTGTTGTCTGTATTTACATAGGAAAATCGTCTAGAATGATCATAGACAATGTGCAGCTGTAGAGCATATCTGCCTTTGAGTCTGAGTGACAGTAAAGAAATACCAAGAGAGCTGAAAACAGATGCAGTGTGCCTTCACTCAGTAAGAACAGCCTGTTAGAAAGACTTCCCGGCTTTGAGCTGCATCTTTCTTTTATCCATCTCAGAGTGAGTTTAGGGACTGAAATATCCATCAGAGCTGCAAAAACTCCTGGAGAGGTGAGAAAGTGAGGCTCTGCGGAGATATAACAACCTAAATAAAGGTTAAGGACGTCAAAATACCTCATTCTTGTTTCTAACAGCCCACATTTTGAAAGATTTCTGTACATTTGTAGACAATTTTCCTGGTTTGTGTTATTTTAAATACAATCTTTCTGTTGGAAGGAATCTTTTACTGGCAACACTTTTACTGGTTGCCTTCCTTTTTGACCTCTGGGGCTCCCTTAGGAAGGGTCATATGAGGAATAAAATCAGAGATTTACTGTAATTGGTGACAAAGATCCAGCCATGAGATTTTGCAGCATAATTCTTAATACGCAAAATGTAGTACATAAGTCTGAATTATTTGCTATGTCACCATTTATGATGTCTAAAAAAATTTTTCCTGGTAAAACATAACATTGGCCATTTTAGAATGAATCTTCGTAGTAAACAGATGATGATGATGATGATGATGATGATGATGATGATGATGATGAGACGTATAAAGCTGAGCCATGACTGTAAAGTTGTTTTTTTTTGAAAAACACTAAAAAGCTGAAGAAATGTTGGTGAGATTTATAAATATAGCAAAGATGCTTTCAGTGATTTCCTTCAGTGTTTGAAAAGATCCAACATTTCTGGCAAAACTTCACCAACCAGCTGCATGAAGAGTGTCAATGAAGTGGGGAGGTTAAAACTTCAGCAACAGTTAAAGCGCAGAAACAGCTCTGCACTTCAAGTGCAAAACACACACTTTATTTGAGACCAACACTTTCTCTGGGGACCCTGAAGCAGGCAGCAGTGCACACTGTGTAGTGAGTCTGAATCGATATAAAGTTGGTTGAATGTTATAATAAAAATAACATATAAATGCTAAACCTGAATGGAGAGGAATTAAACAGCTGATGTAGAGTATTGTTGAGGACTGACACTCTGGGTCCCGGAGCGAGACCCTTACCCCCACACTGCTCCCTGGGTGCTGCACAATGGCAGCCCACTGCTTCCCAAGGGGATGGGTTAAATGCAGAGAGTTTACTTTGTTGCTCTGTACTTTTTACAGTGGAATGACAATAAAACACTGGAAAGAAAAAAAAAATTGTTTCGATACCACTAGAGTGGAGGAGTCATCATTTGGCTCAGGCACAGAGAAAAGAATAAAAAGTAAAGCTAATATCATTGTTAAATATAGAGGAGGATCATTCTGAAATGGTGATTAATGATTAAAAATCAAACTGCAGACCTCCACTATGTGCTGACTTTTTCCTTAGAGCAGCCAAAGTTAACCGCAGTGGTCTGGAAGTCAATAAATGGCTTCAGACAACAGTCCTTCCCTTTCCTTTGCTTTAAGGTGGCTGTTTTAAAACATGTTCTATTATATATATATATATTATATATATATATATATATATATATATATATATATATATATATATATATATATATATATATATATATATATATATATATATATATATATATATATATATATATATATATATATATATATATATATATAAATAAATATATATACATATATATATATATATATATATATATATATATATATATATATATATATATATATATATATATATATATATATATATATATACCAAATAGCTTTTTTTTTTGGTTTTAGTTTTTGTATTGGGAGGAAAATCCCCCCTTTAGGTATTTTAACCTCCAGGAAACTATTCCACTTGTCTTACAGAAATATGTCCTCTGTCTGTGTTGTAAATAATTTGCCACGAAAACATTTGGCATATTCCTGTTAAAAGATTTTTTAAAAACCATCTCCATCAGACCTTTAAATACTCCCGTAGATGACAGTTTCCACTTTAAATGTAGGTTTATGTGCTTGTTTTTTAGTTTTCACAACCTTTTCTCTTTTTTTAAAGAAGATTTACACATTTTACCAACATAAGGACATGAAAATTTCATTGAAATCCATGTAATCAAACAAAAGAAGGGTGTTATTCTTGTCTTTGTCAGATAATCATGCAATAAATCAGACCAACATTTTGATGCTGTACAGTGCAGCTTTCCTGTGCCGTGCTTTCTGGCTGGTTGGTGCGTCACACAAAGCAGACACACCTGCCTGTCTGGGCCAGTAATGATAGCCTTGATGAAAAAATGGAGTGATTTGTGGTACGACGCACGGGAGGAGGGAGGGCAATTATAAAGCTACATGGCTCTGAGTGGCACACACACTAGGAGGTTACACTGGTTGCCATGACTACCCTGTACTGTAGCAATTCAGCTTTTGGTATTAACAAAAAGATAATATTTCTACTTGTGGTCCATGACCCCCATTTACCTCAGCAGCGCTATTTTAAATAGAATTCATAAACGACTATTTCATACTATAATTAAATCTTTTTTTTACTCCAGTTAAATGTGCTTTGAGATGTAGCTTCATATCTTGTTGTTTTAATTGAAGCACACATTCGGGGCACTGGGGGAAAATGCTTTTGATGATCTGAAGCACTAAACATGTCAGACCATGTGGCTTCCTTTTTCATTTGATCTTGTTTCAGTTTCACCAGAATAAAGAGAAGTCTGACCTGCAGAATCAAAGGATAGCTTAAATAGGACCTGTTGGACAGGATGATGTAGGAAAACCAATCTCAGTAATCGTCATGTGTTGGAACATTGCAGGAGAAGATCAGTATATATTTTCATTTCAGACAGTAGAATATTCTAGGTTGAGCAGCTGGCAGAAAGCGACAGGTTTCAACAAATCAATCAGTTTCTAGGTTTCTGGGCTGCCGCTGAGAAACACAGAGTCTGAGATCCCTCCAAAGATTCTCTATTGGGCCTGGAGACTGGCTAGGCCACGTCAGAACCTAGATCTGCTTCTTCCAGAGCCGCTACTTGGTTATCCTGGCTGTGTGCTTCGGCTCATTGTGATGCTGGAAGACCCAGCCTCCACCCATCTTCAATGTTCTGAGTGAAGGAGGTTGTTCCCCAGAATCTACCAATGCATAGCCCTGGCCATCCTCTCCATAATACAGAGCAGTCACCCTGTGCCTTGTGCAGTGAAAATCCCCCAGAGAATGATGCTACCACCCCCATGCTTCACAGTAGGAGTGATGTTTTAGGATCTCATCATTCTTCTTCCTCCAAACACGGTTAGTGGAATTATGACTATTTTGGTCTCATCTGATCACTTGACTTTCTCCCATGACTCCTCTGGATCATCCAGATGATCATTAAATTGCAGATGGGCCTTGACAGGTTTGGTATAGGCAGGAGAACCTTCCTTGCCATGCATGATTTCAAACGTCTAAGTGTATTACCAGCTGTGACCATGGAAACGGTGGTCCCAGCTCTTTGCAGGTCATTGAGCAGCTCCTCCCGTATAGTTCTGGGTTGATTTCTCACCTTTGTTAGGATCATTGAGACCCCACCAGGTGAGATCCTGCATAAAGCTCCAGTCTGAGGGAGATTGACAGTCATGTTTAGCTTCTTCCATTTTCTAATGAAGCTCCAACAGTGGAGCTTTTTCACCAAGCTGCTTGGTTATTTCTCCGCAGCCCTTTCCAGCCTGGTGGAGGTGGACAGTTTAGTCTCTGGTGTCTTTGGACAGCTCCTTGGTCTGGGCCATGTTAGTAGTTGGATTCTAACTGCTTTTTTGGGTTGGACAGGTGTCTTTATGCAGCAAACCAGCTCAAACAGGTGCATCTAATTTAGGAGAATTTAAATGGAGGTGGACATTTTGAAGGCAGATTAACAGGTCTGTGAGGGTCAGAATTCTGGCTGATTGACAGCTGTTCAAATACTGATTTGCGTCTGTGTTATTATACAAATAAAAAAAATCTTTAAAAAATCTTCTTTTGTGTTATTTAGATTTATTTTAGATTATGTCTCTCACAGCGGATATATGCCTACAATGACAATTTTAGACCTCCATGATTTATAAGTGGGATAACTTACTAAATATTATTAATATAAATGATGTGTCACTGTATAAGCACTGCTTCATGACCTTGGACATGGTTCCTGTCTAATTTCCTCAGGATAAATTCCTGTCCCAACAACTGCTCAGGCCACGGCAGATGCAGCGCTGGGAACTCGGTGGCGGGTCGTGTTTACTGTGAATGTGATGAGTACTGGAAAGGAGAGGCCTGTGACATTCCCTACTGCAGGGCCAACTGTGGCAGCCCGGATCACGGCTACTGCGACCTGACCGGAGAAAAGCTGTGTGTCTGCAACGACAGCTGGCAAGGTAAACAAAGCTAATCAATCTTTCATTACCTGGGAGAAGAGCTCTTTAATCAAAACCAGGTCCCTGAGAGATGGTTTTATTCTCAGAACAAAGACCACATTTCCCATGATGCCACGCATGGAGGCACTCTGCTTTGATGTCTGTGTTTTGATTATCAACCTGAAAAAAAAGGAGATTTATAAACCCTACAAATAGCAACGTCCTTCATGCTTATTTCCCACATCTTATGATCCTAAATACCGTTTATGTTGAATGTTATAAAGCTTCATCACACACTTGAGATTTCTAAATAAACACAAAATGTTGTTTAAAAAGTTTTTAATCTTTTGTTTGAGTTTTGATTCCGTTACACAATAGACCTGCTTTACAAGGCAAAAAACCCCTAAAAATTTAAAATGTAAAAGCTTTCCTCTAACCTTCTCCCACAGTAAATCAACAGTAATACAATTATGCGTTAATTAATGCAAAAATAATATATTTTTTCCTTCCCATAACAAGTCAAACTCTTATTAAACAGCGCCCTCTCATGGGCAAATAGATAAAATACAGAAATAATAACCAGTAAATAAATAAACAAATACATAAGAATAATGATAATAATAACTGTAAAACAGATGTGTGTTGTGATTTTATGTTCTATTCTATTCCCAGCCCGCTGGGAATTTATGTCTCTGATACTTTAAGATGTTTGTTGCTCTCCCCTGTAGGGGGGTAAAATATCTTATTTAATCAGATATAATTTCAGCTGTTATATAGTGTTTATGACACACAGTCCTACTAACTGTGTGTTAGAACAACAGATGAAAGAGTGATTCGAGCACTAATCATGGTCAAACAGATATTTCTGCACATACATGGAATAAATTCACCACAACTTCTGTTCAAAATATAAGATTTTATTAACAAAATTCATTCAGCCCCAAGTCAAACATATTTCAGTTTAACACTCTCAACTAAGACTAGTAAAACTAAACTCAACTAAACTAACTACTATGTACAAAGAGGAAGGGGGAAACAATTGAAAAACATATTACAGTTTAAGATGGATTCTGTGTTTGAAACCAAAGTTTATCTGGAAGAATTTGGGATGTGATCAAATTAGCTTTTCACTCATTTTAAAGAAATTGGAATGTTTTCAGACCAATTGACAATGCAAATCCATGAGGTGAATAAAACATTATTTGGCCAAATAATGTTTTATTGAATGATTTGCTTAATCAAGAACCAAAAACCTTTAGCTAAATGATTCTTTACCCTCTTTGAAATAGCTAGCAGCGAATAGACATCAGGATTCCACTAAATGACTCTTGGTCAGACTTGGTAATGGAAATATAATGAGCATTTGAGGAACATATGAACACTAATGTTATATCAGTGTTTAAATCCTTAGTGAATAAAGCTTGTCTAAGCTTTAGCAACAGCTCAACACATATTCCAGTAGCATAGCGTAGCATGCAGTCCATTCTTTAGCATCAATTAGCTTCATCTTTACTCCGCAGTAAACACACGATATGATTAGCATCATCAAAAGACACATTGCTTGTTCTGTCCCTAATCATGCCAGACCTGCAAACCTTTTTCCATGTTTATTTGGAAAGCTTGAGTTTCATCCAGTTTTGCAGCTCTGCAGTCAGGGACTCATTGTCTCATTGTTGCAGAAGTCCCCCAGCTGTTATTCACCAAAGCTACGTTTTCTCCTCTGGTCATCCTGTCAAGACGAAATATGGACACTGGTTCCCACTGTCCAAAAAGTATGATCATGGCATGTGGCACAACATGTGCTATGTTGTTTTTTTTTTTTTTTTATTAATGTTACACATCTAAATCAAAGTGAAAATAGATGTAATAGAGCAACACAGATAAGTGGATAAAAGTGAACAGAAAAGAAGTGATGCAGGAGTTTTAATCCTTTATTATAACTCAAATCAGTAAAGTTAGTATCCAGTTATAATCCTCCATTAATTTTCCTCTGAAATAAATCCATCATAATTCACATCCAGGCAACATTCCCCGCCTGTCTGCAGACAATGGTCGTAATCATTACAGCTTGTCTGTGCAGTTATTGGTCAACCTGAAATGAGCTTTATTACTGCATGTTTAGGTGACTTTTCAGATAACTTCCATTAAAATCTTCCATTTATTGGTCTTTGTGTAGTTATTTTATTTTAGGTGTGTTTTGCGTATTGGTCATTTTTACTTTTGTTTTTTTTTTTTTCTTTAAAGGGGCCCAGACACATTCTATAAAAAAGAAAACACAATAGAACATATTTAACAGCTAAAATAAAATATTCTATGCCAAGCGATGTTCCTGAATGTTTCCTTTTTCCTTCTTTAACCTGAAACTGTAATCAGCAAACAGGAACTTTGTTGTATGCTGTCGCCACCTGCTGGCTTTACTTATTCTTGCATCCATTAAGATCTGGGAGCTTCTGCAGAGTGATGGCTTTGCTTCAGTGGACTCAAACATTCATGTTGAATTCTGAAAGCTGATGTTTCCTGTTCCTCTTGGCTTCTGCTGCTCTGTGTTTGTTTTGTTTTTTTTACACTTTATCTTGGACCATTTCTCTTTCTCTCCACCCTTCCACTGGAAAAAAATGCTTTCTTGTTTAATCATTCCTTATTCCAAAGCTAAAAATCATAGCAGCAGATTTGTGCAGCTCCATTCAGTGTTTTGTAGTTGTGCTAAGGAAAAAAAGATCTAATAAAAAAAAACATGCAGGACGATTGTTTTACACCAGGGGTGCCCAACCTTTTTTAAACCAAGATCTACTTTTGAAGTTGATGGCATGTCGAGATCTACCAAGCCAAACACAAGGGATGGGCAGTATTTGTCTTTTATTTTTTACAGGTGGAGAATAAACAGAAAGTCCAACACACGGGGAAATGATCAATTGTTTCAAAAAATAGGTTGCAAAACCAGAACTTAACAATCTCATAAGAAGTTCACATCATATCACTCTCACTCACTCACTCACTCACTCACTCACTCACTCACTCACTCACTCACTCACTCACTCACTCACTCACTCACTCACTCACTCACTCACTCACTCACTCACTCACTCACTCACTCACTCACTCACTCACTCACTTATCAGACTCACCAAAACTATAGAAAAGAGCAGCCAAGATCTCCAGACGAAGGCTGTGCAGTCAAAAAAAATCGAAATACACCAATTGATACACACACACAGTCCAGTAGAGAAAAAAACAAAAAAAACGTTAGAACTGTAAATTTACAGTCATATGTTTATATCACTGTTTATATATATATATAAACAAAAAGGAAATTTTGTTTGGAACAGCTCTCTGGACAATTTCATCCTTTTTTAAAGTGCAGCCTTGAGAAGTAGTAAAAAAAAAAAAAATAAAAAAAATATATATATATATATATATATATATATATATATATATATATATATATATATATATATATATATATATATATATATATATATATATATATATATATATATATATTTTATTTATTTTTTTAATCCTGTAGGAAAATTCAACAATTCTGGTTCAGTATAAAGAAAAAGTTGGATAAGATCTTCACCGTTAGCACTGAGTGTAACCCAATGCATATGTTACTGGGAGTGACAAACAAAAGCCTTAAGAAGAATTGTGAAAAACACCTTTACAGGATGCTTACATTCTGCGCTAGAAAATGTGTCCTTTTGAACTGGATAACAGATAAGGTTCCATCCACAACACAATGGCAACGGTCCGTCCTTGAATATGTCTCACTGGACTTTTTAACTAGTAAATTACATAATAGAGATGATATGTTTCATAATATTTGGGATCCCTTTATATTGTATACTGGTCTTGATATTTTTGCTATTTTTTCACGTAGCTTTACATAATATATTGCATTAATATGTTTGTTTTATTTTATCACGTCATTTATTTAATTTATATGTATATTTACTTTTTATTTATTTATTTATTTATTTTTATTATTTTTTTTTTTAGCCGGTGTATTGTTATGTTAATTTGTGTTTGTCTTTATTAAAATGGAAAAATAACCAATAAACATATATATTAAAAAAATAAATAAAAAAGGATGAAATTGTCCAGAGAGCTGTTCCAAACAAAATTTCCTTTTTGTTTTACACTTGTGTATGACAAATAAAATCTGTCAAAGATCACTTCAAACTTCACTGGGCATTGGCCTTGGCAGAGAAACTGGCAGATTTATTAAAATTCAACAGGAAAACGGATAAAAATAGGAAAATACTAGCTACAAACTATGTGGATGTGAAGATATAACATACAGCAGAATGGTTGGTTGACTGTTTCTTTAATTTCGGGCAGCTCTTGAACTCCAATACCCAGCATCAGTGTGCGAGATACCTGTCAATATTTGGGGGGGGTCCCCATCTCCTGATTGTTGCGCAATACCGATCTAAATTTTCATTAACGGACATACCTTCCAGACTCACAGTGAAACAACAAGTACTTCAGATTATAACAGAAACTCTGATGATATAACAGACATAACAGTAACAAATAAAACATGTAACTTAATAACCTGGAAAAGATTGACATTAACTGGCAGCTCCTAATACTGAACATGCAAACCGGTGCATGCTAAGAAAACTAACTTCTTCTGCCCCGTTACATCTTTCTTCTGTTTAGCGTGCACATGGCTAATTTGCATACGCACACAGGATTGGCTGGCTGTACTTGGCAAAAAAACAGAACTAATTTGTGAATAAATGTTTTTGATTTTAAATACCAGACATGTTGAGCATAAAAACATTTTAGTGACCATTAGTGACAAAAAAATATATATTTTTAAAATTTTTTTGACACAATTTAAGACCCCCCCCCCCCCCCCCTAAAAAATGTTGCTTTTGAGGCAAAATTTAACCCCCCCCGGACCCCCCCGTATTTCGCACTCTGCCCAGCATGCAATGCGGCGTGTAGCGTCACGGGTTGGAGGCTAGAGCGAGAGGGCAGTTCTGAATGTAGCTTGCTACTGAAAGGTTCTGTGGAAGTTTGGAAATAAATATACAGAACAAGTTTACACTCTTCGTCTGTTCTATATAGAATCGAAGAACAACACAGTTCCAAAAATCTTTGGAAGAATCTGCCACGGCTCAGCCACCTGACGTCGGTGTGCAGCAGCAGATCAGGGTGGTCTCCACCTGCCTCCTCGATCTGGGCATGGAATAAACGCCTCTGAAAACTCCTGGCCTGAATAGAGCAAGCGATTTTCATCGTAACGTCCATGACATCCTTCATATTTAAAATATTGCCACACAGCTGTTGTTGATGAATGATGCAGTGGTTGATCCAAAAAATCCGGGAAAGTTTCAGACAGCTTGAACAGAGCAACGAATCCAGCAGTGCGTCCAACCATAGATGGAGCCCCATCAGTTGTGATAGATGTCATTGGCCCTTTTTCAATTCACAAGAATGCGAGTACGTTCTCGCGTTCTCGTCAAGTCCGTTCTTGGCGAGAATGCAGGAAGATCGGACTTGACGAGAACGTGAGCACGCAAGCACGTATGTGTATCGGAACAGAAGCGTATGGTTAAAAATTGCGGTTACCCTCGGAGGTCTGCTGGTCACTCTGGTCCGCTCAACGTCAGACTTTTTTTATTTTATTTCGCACTAACTCTGTAAACAGGCCACACAGGGAGGCTTAAATGTATAATGTTATCGCCTCAAACGATTTTAAAAACGTACTTTTGAAGAACAACAGCAGCAGAAAAGGGAATGTTTAACTTAACACTGTGAGCGCTGTCTGGAATCAAGCTGCGGCCACGGGGCATTCTGGGGAAGCGGTCAGTCTGAAGAACGCACAAGTCTGCTCTGATGCATGCTCGATAAAGAGGGCGGGGTGAGAACAACATCCGGGGATTTGGTGCGTTCTCGATCTGGCGTTCTCGAGAATTGGAACGGTACTCGGGCTGAGGCTGATGACGTGTCACGAGTACACGAGCACATGAGAACGCTCAAGAACGCATATTGAGAAACGGCCATTATCTCATTATCTCTTCAGATTCTTCTTCGCGCTTTAGAGTCCCTGGTAGCAACCTAGTAACCGTGGCAAACCATGCCCAGCAATCAGCATGCATAAAAAAAGGTTCCCTGCATACTTTTTACTCTTCATTTGATTATTAGGAAAATAGACGTTGGCCTCTCGTGATCAATGATTTGATTAGTGTTTTTTAAAACTTTTTTTTTTGTCATAGCCATAAATAGGTCTACATTGTAAAACTTCTCGCGATTGACTGAAACTCCGCCCACGATCGACTGGTAGATCGCGATCGACTGGTTGGGCACCCCTCTTTTACACCATTTCTTTTGGGTCAACTGGAGCAAAACTGAAAATGCAAAAGATTTTTCATGTGTGACTCACATAGCATAATGTTTTTAATTGCACTAAAGAATTAAAATAGGTGTAATTTTTTTGTAATTGTGAAAGACAGAAAATGTTACACTGCACAAATAGTAAACTGTATGAATGTGACACCAAGCCTCTATCCTACTGGAAATAGCACATTAACGCAGGTTTTTCAAACACTGCTCAGCATTTGGCTCCACATTGGCACCAAACCTGGTCTAACCTCTCGCTGATTTTAACTCGGGTCATTTTCCAAGTGGTTTGACCCGGGTGCACACGGTTCAGTGACCTGCTTCCACTGCCACTATCAGACGATGGTTTTTGGGTTATTTGACCAGAGGGTAAAAGGTACAACAGAATGCAGTTAGTAGAAATGTACTGAATAATTTAAAGGGGTAATTGTGAAAGTTAAAATGATAAAAATATATTTCTCTCTGCAACTTTAAATTCACTGTTAGAATGCACAAATACTTTTGATTGAAAATTACAGTCATCCAAACCCCCCTTAACATTCCCGCACCTGTACAGCACTGTGGTGTCTTTGTCAGTGTGCAAAACTGCTCAATACAAAATGTTGATTTATTGATTAATCCATGATTACTGATACCGAATTAATTAGATGAGAGAAACCATCCGCTGCATGACAGTTACTGTGTATTTTTTATTTGTCTCCATTTATTTCTGTCACCTCTTTTGAAGACCCACTGCTTGCTTAAGAAAATAACTTTAGTTCATTTCAGGTATGAAACATTTTCCATAAAGTCCAGATTTCTTTATTGAAGTGATTTTTTTTTTTATTGGATTGTTATGATTTTACTAGCTGAACCCCCCATATATACATTATATGCACTTGAAATAAGACAATGCAATGATTTTTCTTATTTAAAATGTAAATTGTCTCGTTCCATTGCCAAAGTGTCTCACTCAGGAAGAAATGCACTTATTTAGATTTCAAGATTTTGCAGTGGCTTAAGTGTGTGTGTCACGGGAGGGGTGAGCTTAATGTCCATCAGTACCTCACAAAGATTTATGTCCACTTTTAGATTTGCACTATATTTTAGTTTAAGTATTTTAAAACTTTAATAAATCAGACTGACTCAAGGTATTTTTTGCAAACACATGTCAGGAGCCTGCTAGCTAAGCTTTGTTTAGTGCTCACTGTCTAACATAATGAGCTTCAACGTTCAGTTTAAATCTCTGTATTAATATGATATTTTTATAAGTTATAGTTTATCATGATGTTTAAAAAGATTAAATTTAGGGATAATGAAAAGCTTTTTTGCCCATTTTTATTTCCTCTTTCTGAACTCTCCACAAACCACTGGGTTGTAACTCTGACATTTGTATCATTCAGGCATGAAAGGTCCTTAAAAGAAAGGAATGGTTGAGTGAAAACAAGAAGGATGAGCTTAAAGAAAACATTCAAAGTCAATCTGAGGAAGATTATTTCCAGCAGCGTCTCGTACACACAGTTTAAATGTGAAAGTAATTTACCACCATAGAGGGAGTTTCCAGTTAGCTGCTGGCTGAACATTGGGTGTTCAGTAGAAGGTTTCACTGATGCATCTGTTCCTGAAGTGTGTTTTTCTCCTGCAGAAGCACCTCAGCCTCAAAGCTTCTTCTTTTCTTCTATTCGAAACCCTTTCTGTGCTACAGAATACAGGTGGAAAAAGATAAAAACAATGACAACAACAAAGGATAAACCCTGGAACTATTAGTCTGGTCATTTTATAACGTGATTAATGGTTTGAGTTCTTAGAGGAGAAGATGGAGGGTCATCATTTTTAGCAGTATTATTTAGATGGAACAGATTCAGCTTGCTTAAGGCTATTTCAGGTATAACCCTTAACACCCAGTATCTGTCCTACAGTATCTGCTTCTCTCTCTGCCTCAGGACCCGACTGCACCCTCCCTGTTCCCTCCACAGAGGCCTTCTGGATGCTGCCCAGCATCAAGCCATCGGCTCAGTCTCTGGGCCGGGCCTCCCACGCCGCCTTGGTCCACTCTCGGTTGATGTGGGTGGTAGGAGGCTACTCCTTCAACTACTCCAACTACCACATGGTGCTCAAGTACGCTTGGCGTATTTCAGGCTGTGTTTTATTTAATGTCAGCCTCGTGGCGCTCAGTGCTGAGGTTTCTCTCTCTGTCTGCGCAGTTACAACCTGGACACCAGCGCATGGGACGTGGTGCCAGTCAGCAACGGACCTCTCTACAGATATGGACACTCTCTGGCTCTCTACCAGGTTAAACACACCTACATTTTTTATTAATTCATTTATTTTGGGGTAAATATTGTTCATAATATTAATATTTAACAAGAGGAAAATAATAATAGGATATTGAGCTCTTTATAATATATGTGTGTAAGTATGTTTAATGTATTTATTTGTTTATTTATTCATGTACTGTAGATGTCTACATACACATCTGTCCACAGTTTAATCCTGTAACAGATTTCCAGGGATCTTGGATTCACTTTAAAAATGTGTCACTTTAGAAAATGTCCAAACCTTGTTTAAAAAAAGCATTAAGTCAACACAACGTCTGAGGAGTGCAGAACAGAAAATAAAATCAATCAATCAATCAATCCATCCATCCATCCATCCATCCGTCCGTCCGTCCGTCCGTCCGTCCGTCCGTCCGTCCGTCCGTCCGTCCGTCCATCCATCCATCCATCCATCCATCCATCCATCCATCCATCCATCCATCCATCCATCTTCCGCTTATCAATTCAATTAAATTTTCTATTCAGTTTATTTATATAGCGCCAAATTCACAACACATGTCATCTCAAGGCACTTTACAGTTCAACCAGATCATACAGTCAAATTGATTCAAAGTTTTCTATTTAAGGAAAACCAGTTGATTGCATTGACTCATTGACTCAAATACAATCCCTCACACTAAGCATGCTTGTAGCGACAGTGGAGAGGAAAAACTCCCTTTGAACAGGAAGAAACCTCCAGCAGAACCAGGCTCAGTGTGAGCAGCCATCTGCCGAGGCCGACTGGGGTTCAAGGAGACAGAAGCAGAGACACAAAAAAGAAGCAGAGACACAAAAATTATCAGGGGTCATGTCACGTGGGTAGCAGCTTCAGTAGGGGGGCCCAGGCGTCCCCCCCCCCTCCAGCCACTTGGGCCAGCTCCTCCGGGGTAATCCCAAGGCGCCCCCAGGCAAGCTGTGAAACTTAGTCCCTCCAACGGTCCTGGGTCTCCCCCTGGTTCTCCTCCTGGTGGGACATGCCTGGAACACCTCACCAGGGAGACGCCCAGGAGGCATCCTAACCAGATGGCAATATTATATTGAAGCCAAATGATGCTGAGGAAGAGAGTGGGAGTGCGCCACTTACTGGCTGGAAGGAGTTAAACTTTACGCTTTTTACAGATATTGGTCAAAAAATATCCTCATCATCCTCATCCTCATGCTTTTTAAACCCTGGACTCACCGTCATTCAGCAACTTTTTTCAGAAAATGTGTTGAAGATTTGAAATATAGAAATACTTTAATCTCTAACCAAAAAAATAACATAAATTGAAAATTAATTTTCTGTCCTGATACCAAAACAAATAACAAAATAAAGGTGAATCTAGTAATAATCTATTTGTATTCTCCAGGCTCCTCAAATTGTTAAGTCTGTTTTTTTTTATCACTTACTGTAATAAATTATAGATTCTTTGGTAAAACTTAATGTTTTAAGGCATCACTGATTTTATTAGTGGAAAAGTCACATCTGTCTGCTTCATATCATGTGAAAAGCTGTATGCACTGTTTATTAGAAAGAAAGTAAAGAGATAATAAAAGAGGTCTATGCATCGGCTGTCTGAAGCATTGGTGATAGCAGGGCATTGCACAGGACCTTTTCTAACTTTTACTTAAATAACAAAAAATAAACACCTAAATATAACCATCCCTTTGTTTGGAGGATTTATTTATGTTCTGCCCAATTATGTTGAACACATTTATTTTTTGTCTGTCTAACATGGGAAGGTCTTTGTTAAAGCCTAATAGTCTACTAAAATGAACTCAAACCTGAACTGAAATGACTGAAATGAATATTGTGTGTCCGTCAAGTACAGCTTTACAGAAAGCAAACATCTGCACAGCTCAGAACTAACCTTTCGCTTGTCTATCTGCAGGATGACATCTACATGTTTGGTGGAAAGCTGGAGGGGGGGCCGGCCAACATCACAGACGAGCTGTGGTTGTTTAACATTCCCACTCGTACCTGGTCACCACGGAAACCAGCTCCTCTTTATGCTGTGGAGGGCCACACAGCTCATGTGGTGGAGCTGTCCAATGGCGACCCGGTGATGCTGATCTTCTTCGGCTACTCGCCCATCTACAGCTACATCAATAAGGTTCAGGAGTACAACATCAGTAAGTGCACTTTCTGGCACCTCTCTTTTCTTATGTTTATTTAAAATAGTCTTAACAGAGTTAACCAGGCGATGCAAATAATTTAATGAAATAAAAAGAAACTAGAGGAAGCAAACCAGCGTGTAGCAAAAATATTACACCAAGATGTGTTGCATTTAGGGAAGTTTTCTAGCTAGTTAGCTAGTATTAGCTATAGAAAATCTAATCTAGAGGCATTGAGAAAGAAGTAAAGTTCTGATGAGATTATATCTCATATTTAGGAAATATCACTACTATTCCTACTCATCTTCATCAGAGGCTGAGTCACAGTCTTAGTCCTCCCTCATCCCAGACACCTCCTCCAGCTCCTCTTGGAGACGTGAAAGGTGCTGCAGGGTCAGACAAGACACATGGTCCCTGCAGCATGTCCTGGGCCGCCTCCAGGCCACCTGCTGATGTGACCTGCCTGGAGTCCAGGGGACAGTCCTGGGGACATCAAGGGACATCCAGGGGAAATCTGAAACATACAGTTGAGAATGAAGTTTACACACTCTTCCATTAAAGATAAAGAAAATCTGCTGACAGTAAAAGAAATTAAAATTGACAAAAGCAATAATAAACAAAAATGATGAATGATTGAAATCATATATATCAATATATGGAGTTTTTTGACCACCTTGTTGACTTCAGCCTGGGTGTCGAAATAGTCCGACTGAGAGGATCTATTCTCTGCTTCTGCCAGGGAAGCAGGGAAGCATCAGCTAGGTTCAGGCAATCCTTAAAATATTCCCTCCACTCTCTGACACTACCCTTATTGGAGGTCAGCGGCCCTCTGGCCCCACTGAAAACAGAGGTAGCGCAGCACTCCTTTCCCCTCCAGAGGTACCAGATGGTTTGCCAGAACTGCTTTGAGGCAGACCAATAGTCTTTTATCATGGTCTCTCTAAACTCCTTCCAGGCCCTTGATTTTACCATTTTGACCCCCCAGGCACCAGCACACCTGGCCTTAAGGTTAGCTGGTGGCTTCCTAAGGAGTCTCACAAGACAAACAATCTTGATGGGTCTGCTTCACCTTGGCAGCATCACCTACTGCCGGTAACCACCACGGCATGCTGGGATATCCTCCCCGACAAGCATCACAGAACTTACGACTACAGCTATGGAGGCTGCATCAAGAATAGCGGCAGAGAACATTGTCCTCTCTGACTCTATATCCTCAGCCTCCCTGGGAATCTCAGGGGAGCTCTCCGGAAGGGGGGTGTAGAACATGTCCCTGACCAAGGGTCCCACTAAATGATCCCTGCAGACCTGCCCTTCTCACTTGAGTCTGACTTGGTTTTTCCTCTTCCTCCATCAACTAACCATAAGGTGGTGGTCAGTAGACAACTCCACCTCTTCTTCCGAGTGTCCAAGACATGTGGTTAAAGAAGATATGACTACAAATTCAATCATGGACCTTTGGCCTAGTATGTCCTGGTACCAGGTGCACTGATGGACATCCTTATGCTTGGATGTTGTGTTTATTATGGGCAACCCATGACTTGCACTGAAGTCCAATAATGCTCAAGTTCATACCGTAGCTGGGGGCCAGTATCTCACGATTACGCCCCTTCAATTGTCACTCTCATTTCTCCCAGCAGAATGATGGAATCCGCAGAAGGGGTACTCTCCAACAACCTCTCCAGAAACACTAAGCTGGGTTCACACCAAACGCAGCAGGAGCAGCTAGTTTACATGCAAAGGCAATGGTTGATGTCCGTCAAGGCGCAGCAAAATGTCCCGCAGCGCGTCTGAGCAGCTGAAGCAGCGCGTCATGAGTGTTTAAGCATCCGAAGTGCGTGAAGCGCTGCAAACGCACTGCTGCTCGAGATGGAAAAATTAAACTTTTGCTGCTGGACGCGCCACATCAACCAATCAGAGAAGCTGATCTGGGAACTAGCAGGGAGACAGACACAGAACTGATGATACAGATCACTATGATCACTCCTCTGAAACTGTTTATTAACGCCTAAATTAACTTAAACTGCTGAAACCTGCCGGCAAAACATGTTAGCTTTTATTATCCTGGTGCCTGCAGTTTGGATTACGTACATGTAAACCACCTACCAGCCGCCGCGGCAAACCACGAGGAGGCGACCGGGCCATAGGCTGCTGTTAAATGGGATTCCTACTGATAGCGTACCACCGGTATGTGGGGGTCTGAGCGGCTCCGACAGAAATAATATTGGAAGGCAGGATGGTAATCTGGATGAACTGACTGCACAGATTGAGTTTTCAGGTGTATTTTCTCACTTAAAAACATATTAGAACTACTTTATTCCCACTGATCACAGCAAATATAGCTGCAAGGCAGAGAAAGGATAGTGAAGCTCCGCCCAACGCGCGTCAGACCCTTTGCTGCTTCAGCCGCGCGTCAGAACTAAACTTGTATAAGCATCAGAAATTAAGCACCAGATGGGTTTTTGCTGCTTCTGGTGCGTTTGGTGTGAACGCAGCTTAGAAAGCCAGGTAAACCTCACTACCATTCGGCCTGTAGGCTGAGACAGCAGTAAGGGACCTCCTCCACTAGCAACCCTTGAACACAACCCTCTCAGCTACCAGACTGAACTCCAACATGAGATTGCTGAGCTGGTGGGGCATTGCTGAGCTTGGGCCACTCTAAAGTAGGAGAGAGTTCATCCTCTCTCAGGGAGACGGGTTCCACAGCCCAGGCTATGTGTGGAGGTGAGCCCAGCTATTTTAACTGGTATTACTCACCCTCCTACAGAAGTCTAGACTCCTAAGTCTCCAAAGTCAGCTTGGCTAAGTCATAATTATAACATAAATGTTTAGTTTGGTGGGTTTTTTTTTCTTTTGATTTTGTTTTTATTAAACTGGCAAAACCGGTTTCCATAAAGGTTTATGTGGCTGTTCATATATGGATATTTTGTATCTCTTTATTTAAGCATTTTATATTTTCTAAGACACCTAACTTTGATTTTCCTTTCTGGACTCTTTGGCCTCCTATTATTGAATTAGCCGTAATCAACAAAGAAACCAGAAAATGTAAAAAACCACTATTTCTCCCATTATTACTGTATTATGCCTTTTTTTTGTTTTGGTCATCACCAAAAACCTACTTTGAATGTAAAATGCAGCACATCTAGAGAGGGGTATATGAACTTCAACCTTATGATATATTGAACATTTTTATTTAGTTTTTCCAAATGTTTTGTACGAAGGTAATTTTTTCCATTTTCCAATTTAATGGTCTATTTATTTTTCTCAATTATTCTTTTAAATATAGTTTTTCAATGTTTTTATGTAAGCTCAGTAGGTAAATTCCCATGTTTGGATGTAACAGTAAATAAACTTTTAGGCCCTTGGGGGAGATGGAGATGGATTAAATCCATGATAGAAAAACTCTCATCAATCCATTCTATCTTTACATTCACAAAGGGTGATTAATCCCAAATCTGTTAAAAATGTCATATTAGGTCAAATACCTTCTGATACACTATATTGCCAAAAGTATTTGCTCACCCATCCAAATTATTGGAATCAGGTGTTCCAATCACTTCCATGGCCACAGGTGTATAAATTCAAGCACCTAGGCATGCAGACTGTTTTTACAAACATTTGTGAAAGAATGGGTCGCTCTCAGGAGCTCAGTGAATTCCAGCGTGGAACTGTGATAGGATGCCACCTGTGCAACAAATCCAGTCGTGAAATTTCCTCGCTCCTAAATATTCCACAGTCAACTGTCAGCTGTATTATAAGAAAATGGAAGTGTTTGGGAACGACAGCAACTCAGCCACGAAGAGGTAGGCCACGTAAACTGACGGAGCGGGGTCAGCGGATGCTGACGCGCATAGTGCGAAGAGGTCGCCAACTTTCTGCAGAGTCAATCACTACAGACCTCCAAACTTCATGTGGCCTTCAGATTAGCTCAAGAACAGTGCGCAGAGAGCTTCATGGAATGGGTTTCCATGGTCGAGCAGCTGCATCCAAGCCATACATCACCAAGTGCAATGCAAAGCGTCGGATGCGGTGGTGTAAAGCACGCCGCCACTGGACTCTAGAGCAGTGGAGACGCGTTCTCTGGAGTGACGAATCGCGCTTCTCCATCTGGCAATCTGATGGACGGGTCTGGGTTTGGCGGTTGCCAGGAGAACGGTACTTGTCTGACTGCATTGTGCCAAGTGTAAAGTTTGGTGGAGGGGGGATTATGGTGTGGGGTTGTTTTTCAGGAGCTGGGCTTGGCCCCTTAGTTCCAGTGAAAGGAACTCTGAATGCTTCAGCATACCAAGACATTTTGGACAATTCCATGCTCCCAACTTTGTGGGAACAGTTTGGAGCTGGCCCCTTCCTCTTCCAACATGACTGTGCACCAGTGCACAAAGCAAGGTCCATAAAGACATGGATGACAGAGTCTGGTGTGGATGAACTTGACTGGCCTGCACAGAGTCCTGACCTCAACCCGATAGAACACCTTTGGGATGAATTAGAGCGGAGACTGAGAGCCAGGCCTTCTCGTCCAACATCAGTGTGCGACCTCACAAATGCGCTTCTGGAAGAATGGTCAAAAATTCCCATAAACACACTCCTAAACCTTGTGGACAGCCTTCCCAGAAGAGTTGAAGCTGTTCTAGCTGCAAAGGGTGGACCGACGTCATATTGAACCCTATGGATTAGGAACGGGATGTCACTTAAGCTCATATGTGAGTCAAGGCAGGTGAGCAAATACTTTTGGCAATATAGTGTATGTGCCTGACATTCAGCCCAGGACCGACCAATTAAATACCTTTCATCTAAACAGCAGCTAAATTCAGGTCTTTATCATTGCAGAGCATCGCCACTAGATGGCGGTGTTGCAGTGTTTTTATTGAACTGGACTGGACTCGTTGACCAAGCTTAAAAAAACACATATTTTTCTTCTCCCCTCACACACACACACACACACACACACACACACACACACACACACACACACACACACACACACACACACACACACACACACACACACACACACACACACACACACACACACAGACAGATTGCCAAACAATGAGTCACACACACAGTGGTGTACAGTGAAAGTGGTCATTAAGAAGAGGTGGCACCAAGGCCAGAGCGTCTGGGAGAAGACAGTGACTAATGAATCCTTCTCTCTTCCTCCTTCCAGTTTTTCCTCTTCTTGTCTCTTCCCTCTTCCTAAACATTTTTTTATCCTCCTCTCTCCTCTTCTGAATTATGATTTGCATCTTTTTTCCTTTTATCGTCCAACCTCTGTCTGTCTCTCCTCATCGTCCGCTCCTCCACTCAGCCTTTCTGTCTCTGGCTGCCCTTTTCTTCTCATGACATTGCCATGGTGTTAGTTTGCACGGAGCATCATTAGACCTTAGAGGGGTAGCTAAGAGTCAGCCTGGAAGAGAACAAGTGGGAGTAGAAATGGAGTGTAAAATAGGAAGTAACTGGTTTTAATGACCTTGCTGAGGCCGGTTCACAGCAATTAGCTGCCAGAGATGCGATGGTAGTTGACCTTCTGTGTTCTTATCGTTCCAATTTTACGTCAAAGCATCAACCTGTTCCTTCTTGTTCTTTTTGCATTCTTTTCTAACATCTCATCTTTCTAGGCCTTTTGGCTGCATTAGAGCTGCAAACGTTATTAAGTTTGTATCTAAAATCTTCAGTGATATGGAAACTGTTCAATATGCAGCAAAAAAAGTCAGAGCATGTCTGTGGATTATATCTCTAAATGTTCAGGATCATGACAGAAGGTGGTGATTAATTATCTACCCAATAAAGGAGACCATCCTGAACCCTAAAGCTACCATCGTTATGTACAGTAGTTGTTTTCTGCAGCATTTACTGGTTAGTGTGGGAATCAGGCAGTGGGCCTTCTTCCACAGGCATTATGGCTTTTGGCAAAATGCAACAGGGACCTCCTCTGACTATGTCAAACTATAGCTTTGTTTTGTTCTCTTTTATGGGGACCAGACACCCAGAGTGCATCACTGATGACAGATTTATGGAAAGCTTATTATGAAGTGAATTTTGTACAATTATTGTTGGAAGTAAATAAAATTCTTTATAAACGGAATAAAAAAAACAACAAAAAAACAGAAATGAAACTTGAAAAAACTTCAGAATCAAAATTAGATTTCAGGAGTAATATTTTAAAATAATTTTATTTACATTTTCTTATTTCTATTTATAATCTTTTTAATTGTATTTTTCCAAAGAATTTGTACTATTTTTAGAGTTTTATGATTTGTCTTTTCAATTGTGTTTTATAGATCCTTTTTACACGTTCTCTTCTCGTCATGCTCTGTACATATTGTTGCCAATAAAAAATGCATCTTTGCTCCTCTTTCCAGAAGAAATACTGGCCAAACATGTACAGAGATGTTTAAAGAACCATCTGAAAAGAAAATTGCTGAAAGAGAAATTTGAAAATCAAATATAACAAAAAATACAAATACAAAATATACGGTATGCAAATTAGCAGAAAATTGGATATAGGTTTTTTGGGCATTTCTAAAAGGAATTATTAAAAAAGATCAAATATAAATATAAAATATTTTAAATCATTAAATTAAAAAAATAAAGATTGGACCAATATTTGAACAAGAATACATATAAAAAAGATACAATATGAAATAAAAAAATAAATAACTATGGCTTATTATAAATATCTAAATAAATAGAACTGCAGAAAACAGCAAAGTTACTCTCAAAACCTTTTTGAGTATGAATTATATTTTATTTTATAGTTTTCTCCTCTTGTTTTCATTTCTTTTTATTTCTACCAAAGAAAAGTTGTATCTGCATCAGGAATTTGTGTTTTATTTGTTCTCTATTTATCAGCTTGGTCTCTCTGTTTGTGCTTCAGGGTCAAACTTGTGGCAGGTTGTGTCTGTTGGAGGCGCCGTGGTTCAGGGAGGTTACGGACACAGCAGCGTGTACGATGAAGCCAGCGGCTGTGTTTACGTCCACGGGGGATACAAGGCTCTGAGCAACAACAAATACGGCCTGGTGGACCACATGTACCGCTACAGCGTTGGCACCAGAACATGGTGAGAGCAGGAAGCTTCCTGACTTTAGTCCATTAAATAAATACACATTAATGCTGATCTTTCCATTATGTTCCCAATCACATAAATTAGCATGAGAATGAAATTAATCAGACAAAGATAACTTTAGAGAAAGGAAAACAAGATGTTTTCAAACAATGATTTAATGCATAAAGGTAGACATCTTACCTGGTTTTTAAACCAAAGGACAGGAAGGGCCTATTTTACATTTTCCAAAAACATCTAAAAAATCTCCATGATCTTTAAGATTATTAAGAAACCTGTAAATTAATGAGTTAAAGGTGTGCATCTTGTTACAGTAACATAGATTTGGTGGAATTGCCAGTTTAGAGGAAGGGACACCTGCAATAAGACTCAGAACGTACGACAGAGAATCCAGGTGAGACGGACAGTGGGAAAATTAAACTGCGTTTATTTAGAACATGAGAGGCGGATCTGCAGTGGCTGCAGTTGTGGCGGGACCCCACCCATCACTGGAAACTCCAGTAGGAGAAAAGCACAGCTACAGTAGCAGCCATTCAAAATGGCCCTTCCCAGTTCAAAGTCACCTAAATGGCAGCCGAATGGCAGTAAAATCCCCTCCAGCTTCCAGCCACTGGCCTTCTCCTGGGCGTGCTTTTTTTTTACTCTGACTCCGCCCTCTCACTGAATTACAGGGTCTGACCAGGAGATGATGCTTCCCTTTAGATCTTAATGTCCACAAATCATGACAGAAAGAATATTTTAGATGTTTGAAAAAGAATTGTAGCGAACCAGCCAACGACCAGCCAAGGACCAGCCAAGGACCAGCCAAGGACCAGCCAAGGACCAGCCAAGGACCAGCCAAGGACCAGCCAAGGACCAGCCAACGACCAGCCAAGGACCAGCCAAGGACCAGCCAAGGACCAGCCAAGGACCAGCCAAGGACCAGCCAACGACCAGCCAACGACCAGCCAAGGACCAGCCAAGGACCAGCCAAGGACCAGCCAAGGACCAGCCAACGACCAGCCAACGACCAGCCAACGACCAGCCAAGGACCAGCCAAGGACCAGCCAAGGAAAGTGGGGAAATTTTGAATGTCTACTAGTGTAAGTGTCCATGATAATCTGATGGAGGATGATTATCCATGTGAGTCACTTACCTGGTTTGACAGTTTCAGTCAACCTCCAAAGAACACAGTAGGATCCAGCTGGAGGGCTGCCAATTAGATGCAGCAGGCGCAGCACTGCTGCCCTGCAGCAAGAAGGTTCTGGGTTAGATTCCCGGCCCCGGGTCTTTCTGCATAGAGTTAGCATGTTCTCCCTGAGCATGCGTGGGTTCTCTCCAGGTACTCCGGCTTCCTCCCACAGTGCAAAAACATGACTGTTAGGTTAATTGGCTTCTCTAAATTCTCCTTAGGTGTGAGTGAGTAACAATGGTTGTTTGTCTCTGTGTTGCCCTACGATGGACTGCAGACCTGTCCAGGGTGGACCCCGCCTCTCGCCCATTGACAGCTGGAGATAGGCACCAGCACCCCTCGCCACCCCATTCGGGACAAGCGTGTCAGATAATGGATGGATGGATATATATTATATCATTAGTTTGTACTCTGGGACAGTTTTAGATAACAGGGAGAGTGACTGCAGTAACAAAAGAAGCCACAGTTGTTCTCAATGACTTGACCTCAATGACTCAGAGAAGTCGCTCTCAGCAGGGCTAAGACCTCCTAAGATGTCTGCGTCTGCGTTGGCTGGTGTGTTTTACAGTGGCTGTGCTCGGCTCTAATGACTGAACAGTTGGCATGAAGGGCAGTCACCACAGGCTGGGGTCACTAAACCAGAGAGTTGCCTTCAGTTACATGCAGTTCCACACACACATTCACACATGTTTGTTTTGCTATATGTAGTGAGGACCATGTGTTAAATCTGGTTGACTTCCATTGATTTTCAGTCATTTTCAACCCTTTCTATGCCCTAACCCTAAAACTAACCTTAAATCAAACCCTTACCAATACATACCTCACCCTAACCCAATTAATACCTTAGCCCTAAACCTAACAATTAGCAAAATGTCCTCACTTCACAACAACTGCGGTCATCCACACACACACGCCTAAGAGGAAAGGAATTCTGTTTCTTCAATACTGGTTTTATTGGAACAGGCCCTTGGAGTGTATTCAATGAGTCAGAGAAGCTTTTCACAAACCAGTGTCCCACCAGAGGATCACAAGAACATTTCAGTCTGGAAATGTTCCCAAGTTCAGCGTTTCAAGTGACGCAAGGGTGCAGCATTTATTTGCTGTTGGAAAGTGAGAGCCACAGAGACAAGTTGCACTGGGACCAGAGCTCATTCATCCTGGTGACTGTTACACTTGTGTGTGTGATCAATGTGAGCTTCCTCTTTCAGACGTCCATCTGTTTAGTGTCACCTGAGGTCAAACCTCCAGTCTGATCATTATCTCCTGTTTCTGACTGCTGTAAATGATTATGCTTCAACCACAGAATTACCCGATATATCAGTACATCATCTAATATCACCACTCAGTTCTATATGATGTAGTACACCAGAATATATCACAGTTAGTTCAGGGGTTTGTATACATGATAAATAGTTCTCTAAAAATATGAAATGATGAAAAGTTATCTTTGTTATTAATGCAGGGGGGCGGGCAGGCGGGCGTTCGGAAGGAAGGAAGGAAGGAAGGAAGGAAGGAAGGAAGGAAGGAAGGAAGGAAGGAAGGAAGGAAGGAAGGAAGGAAGGATCTTTTTTAGTAATTCAAATTTGGATTTTCTTTAGTTTTAGATATTTCTACTTAACTCCAACACTCTAGACTAAGATTAACCCAAAGATTATTTATCAATTCAATTAATCTGTTGATATTTTTTTCTTTTTCAATGAATCAATTAATTATCAGATAAGCAAAGGTTCCGTAAAGAAGATTTTGTTTTACAAAATTCTTCCTACTTCTGGATCTGGTAGATCCAGAAAAAGCTGAAGCATGCTAAAGACAGGCTCAAACAGAGTGGAATGCTTCCTGTTGTGCTTTCCATCACAAGAAAGTAAGGATGTGCAGAGTGGGCCTCTACGGCATCAGTTTGACAAAATCTCTGTTTATACAGCAGATTAGATTAGATTAGATTAGCAAACAGAAACACACACAAAGAAAGTCCCACATTCTCGACAAATGAGCATTTTTTTAAACATCTCACCCCGTCTATAATCTCTCACCGGCGTGTTTTTGGCCCTGTGCATGCAGGCTGATTCTCAGGGAGAGCGGTTTGCCGCGGTACCTCCACTCAGCGGTGCTGCTGAGCGGGACGATGCTGGTGTTTGGAGGAAACACTCACAATGACACGTCTCTAAGCAACGGAGCAAAGTGTTTTTCTGCAGACTTCCTGGCATACGACATAGGTAAGAACATGTCCAGAAAGTTTACAAGTTGGACTTTCTTTGACATAAAATCACATTACAGAACTCTAATAAAATAAGTCTTGCCTTATAAACCACTTTAACTGATTTTATTGGGTTTCATGTGATGGATCAACATGAGGTAGGTTTTTTTTTTTTTGCAATTAAAAATCCCAAAAATAAGATTTCTATTTGGATTATTTCTTAAATTCAATTGATGGACTCTTGAACATGTCGGCCTTAATTTGCCTTTTCTGTAAATACTTGGGCTGCAGAAGTTGATCTGGGGTTTAGTTATTCATTAAGTGGTGATTTCAGCTCCTTCTCTTTTAAAGCTACATCTTTAGAAGCTTCTTCCATACCATCCTGTTTGCAAAATAGCCAAAATAAAGTCAGATTGAGTCGACTTTCAAGTCTTGCTTCCAATCTTCCATTTGATTTATGTCTGGACTTAAACCACTATGATGAGCTTGATCTGAAACGCCCAAAGTGGTTCATGATATATATATATATAAAAAAAAACTAAACAAAAATAAAGCACACTAAGGGCCGGATTTATCAAGATCCAATTTTGCGTGCAGTAATTTGCGCTCGCAAACTGGAATTTTGCGCGAGGGGCTGAACCATGGTTTGCGGGTGATTTAACAAGAGCGATTGCGTAACTGGTGGCAGGTGCAAAACTGTTGGAGACGCCCTATTTAAATGATGGTTTTGCGCGTTTTGTGGTTTGCGGCAAAGTAGTTTGTAGTTTCTGCAAACTAGTGCATTAAGAAATTTTAATCTTACAGTGACCCTCCCACCCCCTCCAAAAAAAGAAATATATATATATATATATATATATAAACTTTGGCAACCTTTATTCCCTAAGGTGGTATGTGGCTGAATTTCTACTTCACCGCAGTAAAAAAAAAAAAAAAAAAAACCAGGTGTTTTGTATCGGCCTGTAGAAAAATGCACATACCAAATGGCTCACAAGAAGTGACTGTTGATAAGATGATGTATGCATCCCCGCAGCATTGGCATGTTGCTCCACAGGCGCAGAGGTCGGGGTTCTCCGGTAGGGCGTCAGGGCGACATGGCATTTAGAACGTCGGACAGCACTTCTGAAAAACGAGATTGGGAGATCCCAGCTCTCGCTGCAACCGTACGCTGGAATGACCCAGATGCAAAAAAGTGCAATGTTGCAAGGAGTTTTGTGATATCTGGTATTGCGTGGGTCCTCCTTGTGGCTGGCTCCAAATCCATTCGGAGTTCCCCCAACAGCTCCAAAACGGCAATGCTGGATAAACGATATGTTTTGATGATCGTTTCCTCGTTCATTCCAAAAATATTCACACGGAGTGAAAAAATGCGTTCTCTGCGTCTCCTTGCTTCATTTCCATGTCTCCTTCTTGCGACAATAACCGCTGCCATGTGTGCGCAATTATGCATACAGACCATTTGCACCTTCTTTAGAAACGTGTTAAATATAGAGTCAGATACCGTCAGCAAAATTGCTTTTAGGTTTGATAAATCACTTTGCGAGTGCTAAATTAATATATTTACATGTTCTCCTCCCACAAGACGCACTTTTGCGTGTAAACGCCCCATATTGCATATTCATTGCAGAAAAAGTACTAAATGGATAAGAGGCGCTATTTAGCACGTTTTAAAGACCAAATCCTTTTAGCACGCTGTTGATAGATCAGTTTGTACATTTTTTAGCGTGCGCAGTGAAATAGCTCACGTTTTTATACACGCAAACCTTTGATAGATCCGGCCCTAAGAGTAAACAAAGTGTGGGTGGTGGAGACCCTACAATGAAGGAACAGTGTGGAAGATGAAAGATCTCATTACATAAAGCCCAGTTGCATCATAGAGCAGATGGCAGGAGTGTTTCCACCTCTGATCAAGACATAGAGGAGAAATGATTGAGAGAGAAAAAGAAGAGATCACAGCATTTCTTTACAGGCGTAAAGCAACAGGGAGCACAGAGTTCAACACAATAAAGATTAATATGATTCATTTAACAATACTGCAAAATAAAAAAAAGGTTTGACCAACATGGAGATAAAGGAGTTGACGTTGTGGAAATGACGCTTCAGTCCTCGCAATGCAGGAGATTTGCTTTAAACCACATGTGCATATTATGAAGGAATTGGATGAGAACAGAATTATGCCGAGTCATGTTTCATACCGTCAATGTTTTTTACCCCTTGATTTACGAAGAGGCAGAGCAAGAAGACACTTTTCATGTCCATGTAAGCATGGTACAGAAGTCCTTAACTGCTGGTGATGATGGTATTACTATCAGACCGGGGCTGATCAGGAGGATTTAACCTGCTAAATCCAGAGGGTTTTAAAAATGATTTGCACTTGAAAATATTCAAAAAACAAATCAACAGTAAAGCCACACCCCTCTATCCATTTAAAGGCAATGCTGGATTTTTCCCCCTCTTCAGCATTGCAGATATTAAAATGCCTGGTTTATTTATCATACATATTGTTAAGGAAGTTTACCTCTTCTCAGCCCTCCTCTTGTTCCAGCCTTCAGTTGTACTGTTTGTGAGCTGTCCAGAAGCAAGCGGGCCACCTCTGCATGGCCCCTGAGCCTCTTTGCTTCCTTAAATTAACACTGTATAACCAACCTTTAGCCACCAGGGGGCGGTAGACCTTTCACCATCACTCAGCTAATGCTAAGATATCCAGCAAATTCCCCTAAAGGAAAACAAAAGAAGAATAGCAAATAAATTAAAAATGTGTTTTGTCATTCACTCAGTTTATTCATCTAAAATAAAAATAAATAAAGTAATATATTTCATTTTGTATTTTTATTGCAAAACTTAAGTGGAATTAGATTTAGTATGAGAAAATAGAAGCTCTATGTACTAAATATACCTTTTCATTTAAATGAACACAAATATTCTTCATCTCCCTTGGTTTTTATGTGGATGTATTATTTTTGAAAAAGTAATAATTTTGATTAAACCAGTTCCTACATTTTTAGAGAAAAAATCCTTCCTTTCCAATGCTTTCTATAAAAGGAGGGGAAATAAAGGCGGAAAGACAGTAGCTACCTTGGTAATCTAGTTTAGCATCGTCCCTTTGCCAACAGCCAAACACCACGTAGCACTGGCATGCTCATTTATAGCAGGTTGACGAACAGCAATCTATTGAGGATGACCTCCGCCGACTTTGAAGGAGCTTTGTAATGATACTGCCACCTGTGGCCAAAACAAAGAACTGCAGCACTCTTCTGCTTGTTCTAATAGCTCGCAGTCATGCTTAAGGTTATTGAGTTGCGCTGGATGCTTGTTGCTTCTGAGTATCTACAAATCCATCTAGCATAAAGCGCTTTGATTGTTTGCTGGGTGGGACCGATGACATCACATCTACCAAACAGTGAACTTCCAAGCTGAAGAAAATTCTGCGCTAAACCTCTGAGGTGTCAGTCTGCTCATCAAACCATGTGTTAGCTGTAAAGAGTCAAATGAAAAGTCTATTTAGAGGATATTATTCATTAAAAATCTACATTATGTCTCTTTAAGAAGAATGTCAGTCTTTATAAAACATGTTAATATATCCTTAAGAAAGATGATGTGATTAATCAATGTCTGACAGTAGAGCGGAATCTGTTAACTTCAGTGTTAATACAGCACTGTCATGGTTTAACCTCAGTCCATATGAGCACAAGTTTATGTTAATGTGTTATTTTCATTATTACTGTATTGGTAAATAATATTAGAATATACACTGGTTATATAACCGTGGCTATTTTTATGGGCAGGAAGGATTAAAGATAAATATTAGATAAAATGTACTAAAAGGAGTTCAATAAATTTTTTTTCATGCTACATATAGCTGCATTAATATTAAAGCATTCAAATCAGTATAAAATAAAATCCATATCAAATGAAAATATTCCCCAAAGAAGTGAAATGTACTAGAATTGAGAAAAGAGTTACTCAACCATCCTCAGATGACTTTGGTCTGAAGAATGGAAGCCCTCCTCTCCATCACCCTAATTCTTTAAAACAGTATTTAGCTCATCCAAACCGATGATATTTGGGTTTAATTCTGTTTATTCTTTTTTAGCTAATATATGAGTCTGATGGATTATTTATTTATTGTTTTTCCAAACTTTTAGGGTTAAAAAAATAGCAAAGGAACTAATAAATACTCAGAAGAGCCAAAGTTAATCTTTGATCAGCCTATAATTGACTTTGAAAGGTTTAGAAAAAGCATGACTCAGCGTGGTCTGATGTTGTGGGCATGCTTTTTTTAACCCAGAGGTCAATATTAGATCCTGCATTAATGGGAAAGTTCTGCCTAACAGCAAAGGTAGTTGCTGATAAAAGTTAATTGGGTAACTCTGACATTCTTTGTCAACTCTGTAAATGTAAGGAAAGGTTTTCAGATTTTGTTCTGCTTTCTCATCAACAGAGCCAAAGGGTGAACTTTAACCGCGGCACTTAAAAATGACCATCTTTGGATTAAAAGTGGTAGTGGAAGCAGACAGAGCACTGCTGTTAAATCTCTGATCAAATCAGAAGAAAAAAATGAATTATATGGTACATTGTGATGCAATCTAATGGCTCATTGTTCCAAATTAAATTCTCTCTTTTATTTTATTTTCCTTTTTTTGTCCTACTATTCTCTGTGGCACAAAACACAAAGCAGTTCTGATTGTGAGGATGCAGATGAAATAGGGGAGCAGAGTGCTGTGGGAGGGAGGGGGGGGGGGGGGGGGTGAGGGGGGGTTATATGTGCAGAATTGTTAGAAATAAAGAACAAATGAAGCAGGGATTTAGGGAGAGAGAAGAAAGCCAACACTGCTGCAAAGGAGAATCGCCTCAAGACAACAAAGGTGCAGCAGGTAATAAGACTGAATAAGAAGCTTAATTAAAGGTGATAAACATTACAGAGCTTCAGAGTCTTTAGGTTTCCAGACTCTGGGCCTTTTCTTGTGGAAGGATTTACTGTAAATATGTATCTTTATGTTGCATTAACTCCCTCAGTTTTTA